GGATTAGAAGAAATGAAGATGTTTAATTTCTGTTTTGCTCTATTTGGACTCAAACCAGGAGTGAGTGTGTTTGTAAAAATTTCAACAAAGATCACCAATGACTTAATTTTTGAAGACTCAGCCTGTAAAAGATGCATTTAAGAGATATGATTACGTTAAGCAATCGGTAGTAGCGTGTTACACTTGCAGGTGTTGGTAAGGTGAAGTGATACGGCACTCACACAGCCGTTCGTGGATTCTGCATTAGTTACCCAGCGGCGAGGATAATCACAGAGCTAACGTCCAGCTGCCTCCATGAAGAATCTGCAGTTTTGTCTGTGCACAGCAGGCATGCAAGTAAACATGCCAGAGTTTCCATAGAATCCGTTTAATCATTTCTGGGAACACTTTATCGAGCAGCATTAGAACTTTCAGTGTTAGCCAGGTGTCCGCAATTTAATTGTCCATTTCTTAGAATTTTATAGAGATCTGGTTTAGGATTTGTATTGCGCATATCCTTAAAACTCGACGCTACTATGTAATGGGTTTACCTGCTGGATCCTTGACCTAGGGTTTATTTTCACCAGAGAATTTGTAAAAGTCAAGTAAACACTTAAGCACCGAAACAGTTGGCTCTTATTGTTGCATCCCTGTGTTTCACTCTACAAGTAAGAATACTGAGTGTGCTCGCTAGTAAAATTTGTGACAATCAACTTTACAACTCGCATTGAAGGTCTTAGGACTTAGGCTTCATGCTGTGGCAAAAGGCCTTTTGAGAGAATTGCGCAAGTCTAAACAACAATCTACTTCACAACTACCGAGATCATGGTTTCGAAGGAATGTTGTCATTTCCAGGAAGCGCAGGTTTTCGGTTCGTGTGAAGAACTTCAACTTAATGTTCTTACGCACTTGAGATTCCAAAACGCACATGCAAATTCGCCCCGACTCTTGCTCATTCCTATCTCTGAGTTTACTGGTCGTCCTTCATCGCTTACCACCACACCCCACCACAACTTGTCCGATCTCGGCGTTCGTACTTCTTGGATATTTCCATTTGTCATTTCGCCAGGGGCGGAACTTATGTACCCGGGCACGCTTGCGTGACTCATACGCGAAGGGCGAGGGAGAAGAAAGAGAACGAGGAGAGGTGAAGGGGGTCTTTTTAATCTTTTCTCGTCACCACCTTTTATGCACTGCACAAGGAATCTACCAGAAGTAAGCTGTGTCTTCTTCACAGGGTCCATGATCTTAATGACTCCGCATTTGTATCCCAACGAGGGGTCACGTGGGTGGTGACACCATGACTCATTTAAGTCCCAATAGTGTGCGCTTAGGACTATTGCTACCCCAACTTAATGCCTTGTACAACTGAATTAGGCGGGCAGATAAGTTACCCCAACGGAAACAGCAGTTGCCGTGAGGGGCGCAAGCGATGACTCATTGGTTACGAGGCTAATCGAGTAAAAAGAGGTTAGGCAACATTCGATTATTGTGTCTGCAGGAGTTAGCAATAAACTCTCAAGTCTCTTATTTTAGGCATTTTAACCTGAATTACAACATGATGAAAATCAGTTTAAAATCGACATTTTGGGATTATTTTGCGGCTTACCTTAGCCACATAATTTAAACTACTGTAAATTCTGTTTCGCCACCGAAAGGCTCCAAAAATGCCCTTTTTTGAAGGTTTAGAATACAGCTGATTAACAAGGTGTGATAGGTTATATGCGTCCAACTCTGGTAGAGTTAAGGACATTTGAATTGCGGTCGTAGAATGTTTCGATGTGGCACTATCCAAATGTTCTGAGAATGACTATTGCTCACGGAGTGTGCACATCTGTGCAACTAGGTTTCCGAAGGTATAATTAACAGCCTTTTTGCAAGTGATCTGAGAGTTGATTAATTGTGTAGGGAGAAAATGGAATGCGACAAAAACGCACTTAATCACAACGTAATTCGTATAAGCATGAACATTTTGAACTGATGCAAAACAGAATCAAGGAGGTCGTTAGCTGGACGCAAACCTGGCATTTATCTTGCTACCCACTGTTCTTCGTTTAGTTTTATTTTGTTGCCGCTTAACAATAAAAATCTGCGTTTGCAGGGATGCGACTGTAGCTACTAATCGCTGTTACCCAACGAACGCAAACTCATTTTAGAAATTGACAAATAAAAATTCCCAAACAGACATTCTCTCAAATGAAATCATAAGTGTGCCGGTATAGTCATACGCCCCACCAAACAGGACCTCTTAATTAGAAATATACGAGGTTTCTTGTGAATGGTTGTTGCCAACACCTCTCAGTTGATTTGTTTTGTTCAGAAATGAACTACCTTGATGTCGCTTTATGAAATCCAACTGTTCTATCGCAGCCAATAAGGCTATGCATTTTCTGGTCTTATGAAATGCTTCTAGAAGTATTTACCTGACTGAAAAATTTCCTCATTTTTCGTGTCACGCAAGGGTCAGATATTTTGAGCTGTCCGAGTCCGTCACAAGAGGAAGGGTGGGCCACACTAGTGGATGATTAATTTTAGGGAGGCTCAAGCCCTGCACCGTTGATTTTATATTTCTAGTTTCATATGATTTAACTTCGCTGTGCTCTGCTTCACTTGTGTGTCTCAGTTAAGTAATTATTTAGCGTTAAACTTCAAGGTAGTGCCGCACATCTCCTAGGAGCAGTACCGTCCCAGCCACCAATGCCAGAGCGAGACCACGTTTCCCAGACAAGCGATTAATCTTGAGACTGAGAAATTGAGGCTACGATTGCTTGCGCAATTCCAGACACTTTATAATTTGACCATTTTATCTATTGAGTAATTCACAAAGGTGAAGCAAATCTTCATGCATGTGATATCACTGGAAAAACTTTGCAAGGACAATTTTACTTAAAAAGCTAATTTTTGCAAACTCCATAACATACCTGTGCTCTACAGTGCTGTGTTGTATTCAATATTGACGCACTTAACTTACGTTTTGTTAAAATAACAGGCCTGGTTCAATATTTTTCACCTTATTGCATAACTTCATGGAGTAGGAAATCGCGAAATGCCAGTTTCCCCAATTTCGTCATGTATAGGGGAATTTAAAATAGAAATCGATTCAAAGGTCAAGTATGGGATCGCGTTGTCGCATAATACCTCACAACCCTTCTCAACTGTCCCTAATTCACTGCAAGCTGGCGATGTTCTAAAGGCGAATGGAGCCATTAATCTTAGTTTAATATTGTTTCACTTGGCCTACATAGTTTCTAATAGGCAAGCTCTAACAATAAGAAAGTGCAGTTACCTTGGAAAACAACAACGCTGTTGACCAATCTACCGAAAACATACAAAAACAAACATCTTGGCGATTTCCCTCAATGTTGCTGTCAATGTTTTCCACGCTCTAATGAAGGCACTTTAGTTTTCGGCATGAGTGAATAATGAAGTGGCAAAAAACACCATTAGAGGTAATAACACATTTAATGCCGAAGATGAATTAACGATGTAAAAAATTGGGTTTCCTTCACGTTAAGAACCGGTAAAGTGTCCATTGGCTATCCCATCACTCTGCCTCGTTGACCAGCTAGTTATGATGAGCTGTCATGTGAGAGGATTTAAACCCATCGGACCGTGACAAACCGCCTACCAGAATGGTGGGACGGGGGTGGGAGGCAGAGAAGTGAGCTCAAATTGTGCCTGATGCAGCACCCCACCGACAATATCTTGCATAAATCGAGCACTCCGCAACCAAATTTCTGTCATGGTAATACTCTTCTCGGATTTGAAAATCATTTTGTTTAAACTTTTTATCGGTTTTCATTTCAACTTGCACGGAAGATGGCAGGAATGATTGAATATAGCTTTGACAGGGTGGAAAAGGCTGATTTTGGCTAACTGAAACCGGAATATCGCATTTATTTTCCTTTAGAATCGGAGCATTTTGTAGACATTAATTACTTGTGGCAAGCTATTGCAAATATTTTCAAAATGAACTGAAAAACTGCCAATGATTTATTAGTTATAAATCTTCTTGATCGAAAGATGTTGTTTTGGACCAAATTCCTAAAGGTGTCTCTACAATCGTTTTCAACTCACGTCGTTGAATGCTTCAAAAGAGGCAGCAAGCATAAATAAATGTTTTCTGGAAAAAGCCCGGTCGTCGTCGAGTTATTCAAAAACACCCGGAGCAAAATTAGCTGACTAATGTGTCGAAGATTTTTCGTTCTAATTAGGTTACAAGCGGTAGTGAATTTTCTGGTGACTTTTGTTTAAGTTATAATAAGGAAACGACAGATGATTTAATTGGCGTGAAGGGTAGCTCATGGCCGTATAAACGTTTGTATGAACAGCTATAACATGGAATTTTGGATTAGTAATGCATTGATGTGGATCGAAAAAAGTTTTCGTGGCTCCATAGGCCTCTTTAAATGATCCCTTAATCTTCAGGGGAGAGGTCCTTCAGACGTTACTGCCTTGATAAATTTCAAACATCAGAAGTTCATATGCTCGGCTTAGTAGTGACATGTAAATTTAAAAAAAAAAACTTAGTTTTTCTGAGTTGTTAATCAAAAAGCTACCACAAAGTAAAATATTGCATATCATGAACTTTCCTTGCTTGTGACTTGAGGAGCGACTTGCAGTAACAAGCACGACGGTTGCCTCGATTATTAGGCATTTCAACTAGGGTAATTTATTGAATTCCGCCAGTTCGGCATGTAAAAACATGACGAAACAGGGGATTTTGTTTTGGTCTTTTGTGCAGCTCAGGAAATCCAACTGCTTGTGTTTTTACCGCCTCTGGCGTAAGCTGACTGCTTTAAATTCTCCTAGGTTTAAAAACTCTTAGTATCGTAGCAACTACGTCAAACAGTGCAAATGCAAAGTCCGGCTTCACAATCGATAGACGGGGAAAAAGCATTCTACGCAAAACTAATGCACAATATGCTTGGATGTGTGTGACTTTATTTTCATTGCAAATCTCAAAAAGTGCACTTCCGAGAGTTTCCCAGAAAAGGTCACCGCAGTCGAGGAGCGAACGAATGGAGGCGAGGGTTGTAACACCTCTCGTGCACCTGCACACACGCCGACACACGCACATGCATGGTGGCATTTCGATGCGGCCCCGATGTAGTCACCAGGTGTGTGAGGCATCCTCCCCCCAACCCTAGCCACCCACCCACACCCCCTTCACCACGCTAATCCTCTGCTGAGTGGTGGCGGCATTGCGTCAGGTGTGAATCACGCTCCGTTAGGGAGAAAGATAAACAACGAAGTAGAGCTTGCGTCTGCCCTCCGGGTCCTGACAGACGCGTAGTAATTAATCACCGAAAGAGGACATATTAATCAAGCTGGGAGGGTGACAGACATGACCTGAGATAAACGGGCTAGGTTAGAAAACTAACAATCGCGCCATGGTCAGGCTGAAACAACGCGAATCAGTGATTCATATTCTGTTAAATACCCTCTAATCGACCTCGGGTATCTATCTCCAGGCTTAAACAAAAACAAAGTTACTTCGTCGCCCTAAAGACTGGCGAGTTAGCGGTAGCCACGTGCTATGCACTTAGCACAATCCTACACTTTCCGCTTGGGTAATGTTCCAGAATGTCCTATCTTATTCCAAGCACCAACGATTCATCCGGTTGGTGATGGCTTTACCAGGCCTAGGACGGTATTGCGCTATCTTTAACAGCGCGACCGGTTGATCAAAACATCTGTGATAAAGTAAAATACACAAAGGAACCTCTTAACTAATATCTGAAAATAAGGTACTTTATTCAGTTAGGTAATTTGACTTATCTGGAAAACAATTCACGTCCTTTACTGATTCGGGTTAAAGGTGTGTTATTAAATGGTATTCGCAGGTAATAGCTACTAACGATTGGGAACAAGCAATGCATGCAGTGTGTGGTAATCGGGAGCGATAAGGAATCTAACCTTCATAAAACGCTGGGTTTGACAAACACAGGAATGAAGTAAGGGATTAAGTCCTCGTCCTAATCCAAATAAATTTGTGATCAATTTTTAAGGGTAAAATGTTTGGGATAACAAGAGTAATGTCTCCACCATTACACAGGGCACTGAGACTTGTAAAGTAACGGCAATGAAAATTACTGTGTTGCGTTATGCTTCCCGATTTCAGTGCCCAAATTCAATCACATATTAAGTAGGCTCTGGTTCATCTGTGACGTGATAGCCGGTATAAATTATGCCACATTTAATGAATTTTAAGGCATTCGCTAGCCTCTGCTAATTGCAAAATATTTACTCTGAAGATTTTAATTCCGAAAAATATCCAAACAGCAGAATAGAAAATAACAAATTGTGTATTCATTTGAAAAGGGAGAGATGGCCGTTCGTTCGTGTTTTTTTCAACACACTATGTATCGACTCCAGTTGCTACAAAATATTTGATTCTACGCGGTTTCCTTTGAAACCGTAAAACAATGCGCTCTTTTGCCTTATTACTTGCAGGTGAATGGTGAGGATGTACAGAATGCAAGCCATGAAGAGGCGATGGAAGTCTTTCAACGAGCGCCCGACCCAGTCATCGTGGTGGAGGTCATGCGACGGCCCCAGACAAAGAACGCCACCTCCGCCCCACCTTCGGTATTCCCCACGCCACAAGTGGCAGGTGGGGGTGGATTGTGCGGCCCGGGCCAGGGCACGCCAGCAGACTCGAACAGCGAGATAAGCAGCGTTCTGTCCGGTAGACGAGGAAGTGCCACTCAGTCGGTCGGTGTGCAGACGGTGCTTAGTGCCGGAGAAATGGCCGCCTCTCTGGCGATAGCGGCTGCCTCCTTCGCACAGCAGGAGGCAAAGATGGCCCTGATGGGGGACATGAATCCCTACTGCATGGGCGTCATGTATGTAGCATCGTATTCACTGCTTTTCCAAACCCCTCTTCGCACTGGCTTCGACCACAAAACAGTGAGAGGTTTCCATTTCACAGAGTATGAGATACAAACCTTTTATTTTAACATAAAAACCGGAAACATAGATGGAGGTCATGACACCAACTATTTCAAATCTCGCCCTCTGCGCCAAAATTAATACGGAACCTTGACTGCGCTGAAAGTCATCCTCATCTCTTCAATAAAAAGCCCACACAGCGACGATTCAGATGTTGTTTATATTTTGGCCGTAGTAAACAGATACTGCTGCAACCAAATCTAACAAAATCACTCATTCCTAGTGTATTCGTTTGGTCCGAATCATCAAATACGACTGCCCGCGTGCCTTCGGCGTTTTTTCCTCCTGCTCTGTCTCCTCGACATGGTCACCTGGCTCATCGATTTTTTTTGTCACACGTACACACACGTTCAGACACAGGCAAACACAGAAGGGAGTGTTGATAGTTTTCAAGCTGTGTTTATCGCTTAAGCATTTGCACAGCCTGACAGCATTAGCTAACGGGTTAATTTTGAGTGGTATTGACATATGGACCACGTAGGCCAGGGTGGCTGGGACAATGAATTCGAGTGTAGTAAATCCAGCTTCAGACAGTAGATGAAAGTTCTGTAGCCTACAGCAATCACGGCACAGGATCAAAATGGTCTCAAAGCACTCCGGGAAACAAGGTTGAAGCTGCCCGGCTTTTGTAATGTCAATATGGTCCTGTGGCACTGGCATATTCTGGTCAGATTTTTTACATTTGGTGCCTACTGCGCCTTCCACAGGTGCAAGTTATGTTTGATACAGCTATAAAACACTGCAAAATCACATACAACAAAAAATTGACAAATTTCTGGATATTTATAACCAAACTACACTTGAGTCCTCATCCGGAAGCATTTAATGATGCCGTCAACTTCTGCCCGTCATTTAGAGTGCTTAAAGTGTAACACTTAAAGTTGCCTGTGCATGTGCGAATCTTCACTTCACAGTCTCTGGCAATTTTTCAACGGTTATTAGCACCTGGGCGAGAAAACGTTAATTCTTAATTTAGTGTCAGTGGAAAGACATATTTCATCCCCAAAGACCGCTCACAGCGTTTCACGCTTCGGCTGTCTGCTTCTCATGCTAGTTGTTAGAACAATTTTATTCGAATCTGGTACCTGATTAACCCAACAAATTTGCAGGCATTTTACAAAGTCAAACAGTCAAGTGTCAGGTGTTAACTTGTTACCAATTTGAGCGCCATTGCCAAGTAACGTCACTTGCTTGCGTATCACTATAGCGATCGGTGTTTTAAGGTTTCCGGTCCAACGACATCGCAACCCCGTTTGTTTTAAACACCAGAACAGAGGCCGTAAAAAAACATTCAAAGAGGACGGCCCGGGCATCCATCGTTAAAAGGGGTGCTGTTGAAGCCCCGCCATTTGAAGACAAACCAACGTTGTTAATAAAGCTAGGACTTTCCCTTCCTTAATTACCCACAAGCCAACTCTTAAAACTCTTTACTTGGAAAGTGTGATTTTTTTTTCAAACTCACTTCGACAAATGAATATGCATTTTGTCAAGTAGCTATGTTTGACCATGTAAATGTTTGTTGGAGAATAAGACAATATCACATTCGTTGAACCAGTTCTAGCTTTTTTACTTTGCCTGCCGATGGCATGTTGTACACTAACCTTTTCAAAAAAATTAGATATTAGGTGGTGACAATCCGTGAAGCCTTTTCTATTTAATATAAAGTCTTGTAATCTCAGTAAAATCAGCATACTGCTTCTGCTGCTAAAACAGCCCTGACTTACACCATAAAGGGAACGTTTGGTTTTTACTATATGCACATCATTAATTTAGCAGCATATCGTAGATGGGAAATCGGACAGTTGTGATTCCCCTCAGAGGCAGAATAACCTTTCGTTCTGACGCCTGGTCGTTTATTCAGCAGTAGGTGGAAAATTATGGGGGGAATAACACGTTTGGAGCCAAAAACCTAAAGGTCAGGGTGTGGTTACGTTTTAATCTGATCAAAGTGTCAGTCATCCCAATGGTGGGACTTTGTTTTCTGAGAAATAGCCAGATAGCTCTAATTACTGCAAAATTCTTAACTGAATTGCATAAAAGTACCTTCTCGCTATCGGCCTCGCTCATTTGGGATTTCACAGATTGCTTAGTGCACTTTTACTTGCAACAACCTAATCATGAGACAAGATATAGTAGAACAGATAAGTTCCTCGCCTTCTCGTCGAACATTTGTCAGAAACTGCTCTGTCCTGAAAAAAACTGATGAAAGGTTAGTCAATGAAAGGGCTAACTGACTCAACTGACACCCGTGATTATGAGGTCCTGGTCTAAACGCCACATGCTGCATCCAATGTTTTCAATCGCACGACTTATTTCAAATTATGTTAATCTTGACAAAAGTAGATACCCCAGAGGTCCAAGCTGCAAACATGGACTCCTATGGTAGCCCACTAATTTAGCGATATTTTGCTACTCAAATATGAAATTAGTTAATTAGCCTGATTTTTTTAGAAATGCAATTGTCTTGCTCAAAATTGCAATGTGCATCACCTCGATGAAACCAACTATTATGCGGCCAGTTACCTAGATTGGACATGAGATTGGACTAATTCTGTGTTTAAGTAAATTTCACGATCTAGTGTAAGCACAACGTAACGTTTCCCATTTTTCGTGTCGAACAGGCCCGGAAAACATCCCACTGATTACCTCGGGATTTCTGGTGCAGGCGACGGGGCCGAAGATGAGGATGAGAGTGAAGAAGAAGGTGACGGTGAGGGTGTTGATGATGCTGTCTTTGGAGCCGAGGAGGTTGGCTGTCTGGACTACATCTTAAAACGCTATCCATGCAACTCGAACGGTGTCCTACCACCCTTCACCCAGTCTAATCTTCTTCCCCAGCCAATCGATTCCGTCTACGCAAACTTTCCAGATAATCCGCATTCCTCCCCGGGAAACATTGTAGGCGGCGAATATTCATCCAATGGCTCAGATAAATGCTTTGTAAGTCCCTTATTAATAGACTCTTATTTTCGTCCTCGTAAGGAACTTTTGATGACATCGAATGCTTCAATAAGGCATTGTATGATTCTCAAATTTTAGACGGGTCAAAAAAAATTTAACCTGCTGCTGTGATTCAAGGCTTAAATGTATCTAATTATCACATGGTTTGTTTGATTAGGGTCTTAAAAACGCCGAATTTCGCATGCAAAACTTATTTTATTCAGAGACACAGCAACAGTACCAGTCCGTGGAAGTACCTACGCAGTTTGGTTTATTTTGTCGAGGGGACATTTTGATTGGATGTGCTTACACTTGTCGAAGGATCGTCTTAAGATCACGGGACCGCTGATTGGGGATGATCGATGAAAACAGTGGGTTTTTTTAATTTTACTGAGGAAACTCAATTTGAGATTTATCATTGTGAATCCAATCTATCCATAGGCATACGTTAGTAATTAGAACATCGGCGCTTTTGGGACGATTTCATTTAAGTAATTTATTATCTGAGAAACAGTATTTGCTAAACTGCCAATTATCGTCACAATTTCTTTACTTTTATAAAACACAAATTACGTTGTGTTAAAAACTCAAGTGGTTTGGTCCTGTAAACCAAATCTGTTTCTTCGTTTTGTTCGACACAATTGTACAACAATTTGTGATCTTGACGAAGACCATCCAACATGATTTGCTGTCGAGTGAGCAATCACCACCAACATCCCTGTCATTCGGGGTAAAAATCCCTGTCAGGGAAATCCCCAGCCTAATCATCAGTTTGATTATAAATTCTGTCTTGCAAATAGGGCTAAACAAGCCAGGTTATTTCAAAAGGTTTATGCATGACCCCACAACGCTTATACAAAGGAAGCATTGCTTGTCTAATTTTTCTGCTTTATTGTTGCAGCAACGCATAGCCGATGTGGCTATTTTGTCTAGGAATTGCCCGATATTGGGTTATCTTGTAGGTCAAATTGCCTTACTGGACCTTGTGAACCATTTTAAAATACTCAATTTAAGTCAAGAATCTGACAACACACAAAATTCCTCCTTTGGCTGCATTTTACCACTAAATTTATACTGACAGTACATAATAGTCATTAAATTCCTACTCAATGTTGTTGATTGGTTCTATGGATACAGACATGATAATTGATCTGCTAAATTTGGATCAACAGAAAATTTTTACTGACCGTAACTAAATGCGATGCACTAATGCTTAATTCAAGACCTCCATTTTATTCCAAATGAACACTTCTGTGACTTAGCCGAATGGATTACAAATTCTGATGTCGAAAACAATTATTTAATATCATTAAGATCTTGAATTCAGGATTCCTTTCCATGGTTTGAGTTTTCTTTGTTAGGTAGTTTGTTTTTGTGATTGGTGTATTGGTCGATGTTGGCTTTCACCTGTCCAGCTGTTCGTTTTTGTCCTTGTCCAACATACTTGGTAACGATTAGCTCTCCCCGTAAGTGATTATCGAGTTTCCACTAAATCATGTTTGCTCGTGGCAAAACTACACAGTAAAGGAATTGTTGGTGTTGTTAACATTTTTCTAAATGCATAATTGCATCCAAACGGTGTTGTCAATACGTCCACTTACCTCCCGATGCGCCGGCCAATTTCAGTGAGTGATGATTTTCCTAGGCTCTTTGGATATTTGCTTTTAACTGCAAAACTTGTGTCATAAACACGCGACTTCGAACCGTCTAGCCTGCACTGATGCATGACAGAATTACAGCGTATTCGCTGCCAGAACCACTAATTGGCTGTGAGCGCATTTTTGTTATTTGCGAGTGAATAGAAACCTTCCTGGTATATGCTGAACAAATCCACCCGACTGATGGAAATAGTCAAGAAAACTTCCAATGCAAACTCAGTGTTGTGTACGGTAATACCTCTCCCTTGTTGACTTAGAGTTTTGGATTTTCGGTTCGCGTAATGAAGGTGGAGTGCGCTCTGCTAACCAGCGGTAAGGAATTCTTGGGTATGCCAAGAGGCTGCAAAGTCCTTGATGTCCTCGATATTTGCTGCACGTCGACTACTCGTGTTCTTCATTTAATTTATTTTTTACGCCTTGTATACGACATCAACAACACTACCTCAAAATCACGTTAAGGTCGTAATTTGGAAGCTTACGTCCAGCCCAATTTCGACACGTTTAACACATCCACATAGTCGTGACATGAATTCTTTATGTGGTACACTTCAGTCTTGAGAATTAATTGTTAAGTAAAGACCCAAATAGTCTGTGGATACTAAAATGTACAAAATTTGTGATAAATTGATTTGAGCAGCAACTTGTAAGGTCAGATTATGCGGTAACGATTACAAATATTCAGATAGGCGAGTTCAGCGGTGCAAAGTTCAAGAAATTTAAGGCGTAAAGCAGGCGTCAGACCAAGTGAGTAGGCTTGGTGAGGTGAATTGAAACCTTCTGAGGAATCTGGCCCTTACTTTGCGGACTTTACCGACCATATTTTAATGTTATGCCAGGTAAATTCGTTCGTGTAAAAATTAAACGAAATTTTTGGTTTAAATTCCGTTCTTTATTCTCGACCAAGGCTTAATTTTGCATGCATGCAATGGTAGGATGTCAAAGGGCTCTATGATGATTGAAAAACACCTGAATAATTTCCGATTACTTTTTTATTATTAAAAGCTTCTTTCATTTAAAGCAGCAAACTCAGTTGACACCAAATGTCAAAATGACGTGTTGGCTACCCATTCTAAGACTCTTTTCATGTAGGCATACATTCCAATTCTGGAATGGATATATGTTATGCTTAAGTTCCTCTCAGACAATATCAATCCGGCGTGAGAGCTTTTCTTGGAGAAAGGTGAATTCGAAAATTTCGGGTTCCGTTGTTTTATCAATAGCTGCACGTTATTAAGGCGTAAGTTCTTTTCTCATCTGGTCAGTTCTTACGCTAGGAGGTAATTTTTGATTAAGCAGGATCACAATGACCTGGAATAGCCATTATTCATTCTAATTTGATCCAAGGGCAATAGCCAACATTGCGAATCGAATCGGATGCGCCTCATAATCATTCACAAAGAATGAGGTCGGTATTGGAGTTAAAGTGGTTTTTGTTTTAACTATAACTGCAACATAATACTTAACCATCACTTGTACTAGCACTTTTTTGTTCAAACTTTGCAGGAGGTCATACTGCAGAAGCAATCGGTGACGGACAAGTTCGGATTGACCCTGTGTTACCGTCCCAGTGAAGTTCAGCAAAACGTCACTGAAGTCTACATCAGTGAGGTGGGTTTTCTCATTTATGCGTTATAGTTCACTTATTTCGTCACTACAATTAAAGGAATTTTCCATTTCAAGAAGATAGAATAACCTCAAAGGTTATTTTCGTCTTCCATGGTGCAGCCCATTTATTTTGGTTGTGACTTTAATTCAGTGCAGCAAGGAAGCAAACAGGATAGCTCCGTGGCCATTTTAGTGAACTATTCCATTGGCCACATGGGCGAGTGGTGTCATGATATGTTAAAAAGCACTTTATGCGAGCATTCAATAGGGTTTCAACGTCGATTTCCTAATTGTTGCACGTTTGTATATAAAAGCCTGGCACCCTCCAAAAACCTCTACGTCACGTCACCTACACGTGTCCTGCAGACTTGTGACGCAAAATCTTTTTGACGTGTGGCTGCACACAAACATACCTGCATACAAACGCACTCGCGAAACCACAGGCCTGCGAAGTATCAATGAATAGATCAAGGCCTTTGCACGCGACTGTTCTCTCAGAGTAGGCCATGTAGACACTGGCACAGTTTGTTTAGACGAGCCAACGTAAACTTTACTTGCCCACAATAGGATTTGAAGGTTTCTTAAGCCACTAGTCGTTAAATTTACAGACTTATTTAAACTTCAGTTGCCAACTCGTTAATATACAGACCTATTCAGTCACTATCTTAAAGCTGTCTAAAGTCAGTTTATCGGAAATATGTGCTCTGACTTTTTGAGGTTGTATTCTGATTCTGTAGGGTTTCTACAGTTAGTCGATCTAGCTTCGCCATCTAGTGTAGTGTATGGTTCTGATGGTATCGTTTAATAAGGCCTTTAGCTGTTTTGGCATATTCTCTAATATTTGATTTTGTGGGATCCCTATGCCGACGGTGGCTTCATCGAATGACAACGTAGACTCGTTTCCCTCCCCTTTACAATTGCATGATCCCCTATGACAGAATCCACTGCAAACATAATTCTGCAGGAGGACCATTAGGGATCCAAACCATGCATACAGAATGCACATTTAATCATTTTCAAACTCCTAACAGGATTTTCTGCATGTCTTGTCAGCTCGTAAAATGGTATTTTAAATTTTTATTTCACAAATACCGGAGGCTCATCTGCTAGAATTGCTACTTACTTTGTCCTGAATTTAAATGCGTGTAACGTTTTGGGTAAATTCTTTACCATTTTGGAGTTTTTTTGCGTCGCATGTGTATGATGGGGTCTGATTTATGTCTCAGCAGCGATTCTCCCTGCATTAAGTGGTTATGAAACAAACTTTCAGAAAGGATTTACCAAAAACTAATGAGTTACGTGGGTGCACCTGCCTTAGTGAGTAGGAAGCGTCATGTAAGTTTAGGCATCATCTGACTGTTTGTTTATAAGTATTGGTTACCTTTTTAAATGCGGTAAAAAGACTTAAATCTAGGCAAAATACATGCCTCTATTCATTGGAAAGTCATTTGAAATTGCTTAAAGTATAACCCCACATTAAGGGTAGAATATGTCCTACCTTTATTCCATAATAATTAGGGTGCTATTACAACGTACCGGAGCGTAAATCACGTCAACGGATTCGCTTATTAATGCTTGTTTATAAAATACTCTCAACACAAAAATTGAATTCCATCATCATACTGCAAAAGTATTCTGCCTGCTTCATACAGTTGTAGTTAGCTGCACTAATTTACTTTGGCCTATCATGTCGCAATTTATTTTGTACAATGTACAATTATTTACCTTTGTACAAGTCAATAAGACGGGATAGGTTTCCATGTTTTTCAGTCGCCCAAATCACAAAAATCAGCTTACCCTCATACTTTGCTTACAAAAGCTGTGAAGTTCGTCAACTTGCTCAATTTCCTACACCCTGCATGCCAACTTTATCCACGCATAAAGGAAACCACCTACTTTACAGTAGCTTACTAAACTTTTTTCAGAAAGTAGACATTTTGACCGATCCTCCGATTGCATGGCAACTGGTCCCTTCCAGAATTCCAAATCACCCCGTTTCATTTACGGGGTGCCTCAAAGTGAACCATCCCTATGAATACTAGTACCCATCCTGGAATTTGGTTTGTGTCACAACTGCTTCGTGATTTCCTTTTGAACCACTAGTGGCAGAAGCAAAAGGTTAATCACCAAGCTTACGGGAGTTACTACCCGTTCAGGTGGCTGACATTTCAGTTCTCTTAAGGTGGCGAACAACTCCACACACACCGATTCACATAAATTCTTTATTAAGGAAGGTAAAAATCACCACACTAAGAATTGATTTGCTTACGATTAGGAGAAAAGTTATTTGGCACACCATTAACTAAGGAAATCAAACCATTGGAGTAAATTGCTATTCCTTTAATTCTAAAGTAACTTTGATAGAGCAAAGTACAATTGCATGCTAGCCAGCTGATAGTCAGTGATTTGTTTTCAATCAAATGTGCTCAATGTAACTAAACGGTACCCTCAATCGTCAACACAAACCTACTAAGTGACTATTTGGGATATTTCTGGGATGAAGGTGGTGGGGCTTGATAAGTAGGAAAGATGATTATCTTTGTGAACAGTTGTTCGTTCTCTGTCCTGTGTTTGTGCCTGAAAACCTGAGTCATGTAAGTTGTGAGGGAATGCGTGTGTATGCCTACGTCACTTTAGGGGATGGCCGGAACTGGTAGCTGATGATGATTCACTCAACTCTCCCACCCGCCTTTTTCTCTCCTGCCTCCTTTCCAACCAAACCACGTCCACGCACATGAACCATGAACGTGGACCTATGTTTAAAAGGTAGTAGAGGCATAATCACAACAGTACCTCCAAGAACGCAGGTGGATCAACATAACCCGAGGCCTTTGGGCTGCATTTAGGAAAAACGATGAATTAGCTTCTTCATTGAGCCTTTTAGTATTTTAAAACGGTGTATGGAAGGATTTAGGGGGGCTAGCAAGTTGCATTTGCTCACTTGAGTTTCAAAAAGTCTTGTTTTTTGTGCCACCATGCCAAATGTTCTGCATGTTTGGTTTAGAATGATGGATCCTAAGGTTATTTATTTATTTAAACGTATCTCACATGCTCACACCTACATAATGATTTATGTACTTTACTGCGGGCACTGTAACGTGTCACTGCAGTGTCGAGGCAACATGTCTAAATATTGGATCCCACTTTATCAGCTAGGAATTACGTACAATGCACTTAGGAGCTCGCAAAGTGGAACTACATTCTAAGGTTCTCCAATTTTTAATTAGGAAAACTTTTATAGCTAATAGACATAAGAAGGCTTCCAAAAAGTACCCTCTATGGCCAAACAAGCATTAGTGAGTAGTACTGAGGAGACCTTCTCCTTACCTCATAACAGTCAAGTCACAATCACTTCGGTTGACCTTCTTCAGTTGACGTTGCCTAATTTATTATAATGATATAAACTCATCCTTGCTCTTTCAATGAGTCCCACCACTGCTGTACCAAATATTCATTTATCCTCATAAGAGTCAGAGTTATTACCAGTGAACCGTAATTGTCATCGATGTAATGTATTAGTCATAGAGATTTACATATTCCGCAGAAAAATGTAAGTACAATTAGGGTCATGTTTATTCTCAAAATAATAATTCTCATAACCCTCAAGTAAGTTGACTGGAAAAAGGCCTTAAGAGTATAATAGTACCAAACCCCTTTCGTCCTGAACGAACAGTATGGCCACTTGATCCGACAACGACTGGTACCGACTTTTGCAGGCATTAAGCACAAAGCATTCGTACTGGTCCAGCGCAGATCACCAGCCATGCTAGAGATCGAGTGAAGTTAATTCTGTAATTACAAACTTGGACATTTTATTTTTCTCAAATTTAGGCACCGAGCAACAGAGATGATTCTTAAAGTAATCCCCAACCGGAAATCGATGAATTTATAACAAAGACGACGCTTAGATGGTCCATATAAAGACAAAAAAGTCAAAGATGTGCTGCAAAATATTTTTGCTAAAGTACAAAATAGAAGAGACAATAAGGAGATACCTGTCTGTGTGGTATTATGTAGATATTAAGATCTCTATTACTGTCTATATAGTGCTACAGTGAGTTTTTGGAAGCGGACGGACCTTGTTTTAATTCACGTTTCGACAGCAATGCCTATTCATTTAGATAATTCCTAAGACTACAATACAGTCTTGTTCTTCATTCAAATGAGTTATCGCTGGGATCAACTATACAAAACCTTCCAATTATTCAGGTTTAAGTAATGTTTAAAACATTTTCGATCAAATATCGTTGATTATTTTTCTGTTTGCTATGTAATGGACCATGGCATAATGTTCGGTTAGAAAAAAATCATCTATACCGTTGCAGAAAGTATAGCATTATTCTCAATTCTAGAGAGCTTTCATCTGTTCATACGCAATTAATTTAACTGTTCACGGCAAATTCAGTGCAAGTGGATTAAGTCAAAGCAGTTATTTGAATTGAGTTGCAGCTAATGACGTTTAAATTATTTGAAGCATATTCGGAAATCCTCCTCCCGGTGCGAATGCGTCTGAGATATGACCAGCACTGATTGAATGTAAATAATATAATCCCGTTTTATTGTGCCGTTCTCTTCAAATTCAGTTTGTAAGGTTACTTGGAAAATAATAGAAAGAATTTTGAAGGAATTCTTTTAGCTTGCTCTTAAAAAATTGATCATAATATAAAAGAGTTCTAAAACAGTAATATTTCTGACTAGTGAATGATTTACGTACACATCTTCTCATGGGTTCTCACTTGCACAACTTCTGCATTTCCAAGTCAGGGCTTATACAAGGATAAATCTTCCATTTAGCGGAACTCAAGGGAGATAAGCTATAAGGAACAGTTTGAGCCTGATGTCTGTGCCTAACTTTACTGCAGGGGTGCTTTACTAACGAATAACCAGGTTATTGCATTGTGACAGCGCAGTGCACACACGACGGAACACCCTAGAAATGAATTGCTGCAGCTTGACCCCATCCTTGTTATTTACTTTATTTGGTACTTCTGAATTTATAACGCATCCACTGGTGAATAAAATTAGCCTGGGAAAATGCAAATAATATGAATGATAGGTATGTTTTTTTTTAACTAAAAGACACCACGGTGAGCCTCAAATGCAGTTTTTAATGCAACTCAATTGTCCGCATCCCCTCATAGATATGCTCTGACTGTTGCAAAACATTTGTAGGCAGGAATTTTCTTGCTAGAAATGTGTGAGAAGGTCAGGTGATTTGAAGTTCTTCTTCTCATTACTAATGAGCTACGGTATTCTCAACCAGCATTTTTTCAGTCTACCGAGTAAAAATATATGGGACCAGCTAGGCCAACTTGACTATCACGAACACTGTCTAGCATAAGTATCGCCAAAACGTTTCTTTTGACGGATGGCATAACTCTGCAACCCAAACATCCAGTGGTAAACAGCAGAACATCTTTCATGGAGTGATTAGGCGCTCCTTGGCATTCCATTAAGACGTTGTTTGCCACGCTTATGACTCAGGCCGCAACCCTTTCATTCAACCTGCGCCCGCTTTACTAATGCTGCTGTTAGACGGAATAATTAATGTTCGCTCTCATCTCGTGACAATTTTCAACATTTTCAGGACCTTTCGTACAAGTGTTGAGTTTCTTTTTCATTACATTGGCAGATTTTCACCAATTTTGTGAGCATTGAAAATCACGCTGGTTGTTTTTTTTTTGATCGTGTACAATGCTACTTAAAAAATTGTCGCGTTCAGTACTGCGGTCTAGTAACTCAGCGAAAGTGGTGCGGCTGGGCATACTTTAAGATGCTCGTAACTGAAAGGCTAACCTACTTGAAAACACCAACATCCACATTGTACTTAAATCCTCCGCTCGTGTGGTTTGTCGAACTTATCAAGAAAGTTATGTTAGCTTTCCTGTTGCTCGGGATGCATGAAACACGTTGGCACTTGCAAATACCAGTTCTGCGCACACTGTGACTCATTTAACCTTTCCGAGACCGGGAGATGATGCATGCTGTGCAATGCCACAAGGTCCCGACCTTGTGCCTGGTTCAAATGCACCAAACGCTTCTGACACGCGCATCAAATGTCCCGAAGAATTACGAGATTTATGTGACATTTCAATGATTGTTCTTTGTGCTAATGGTCAATAATTGCAGTCCGAAAGCATGCAACACGACATGTTTAATGCCAAAATTAGATTGTTCGCTTGATGCCTGGTAAACAATACAAGGCCATCAACGGATCAATGCTAAGCACCTTTTTCTTCTTTATTTTAAATACTCATGAATAAACTTTCTCCTGTCGACCATCTATTTTTTCATAATCATCTCTTCTTCTGGTATTATTTGATCAAAATTCCATCCAGTTGCCTATTTTTGAGAAAGAATTTTTAAATAACAAGAATCTTACTGTGAATAGGATAAACTTACACTCCCAGGAAGTGCCATGAGGAAAAAAATCTGATTTAAAATGATTTGTGCATATGCAAAGTGATCTCCGTGTATTCCTTCGAAATGTTGTGAATTAAGAAAAGGACTTCATCTTCATATGGCAATAGCATTTGCTTAGTCAAACTCCGAGGCGAATTCCTTTATTTAAAGACCCTTGGTGATCTCGACAAAAAAATTTGCCCCAAGAATGGCATTTTGTGGTGTGGCTAAAAAACCAAGCCATCACAAGATGACTGCGAAAGCGTTTTTGTTCTTTATTCACGAAAATGCACCATTACAGAGCTGAAATGCTTTTCGATTGAATTGGTTTGTTGAATGCCGTGGACCTAAAACCAACAGAAGGATTTAAATCAATTACAACATTACATTACAGGTTTATGGGCCCTATTTCCCGTTTTTGTGATCACCGGAACCCTATATCCGCTCAAAAGTAGGCTAAACATTACTCGCGCTTCCATCAACTTTGGGGAGATGGTGTGAATTTTATTACTCCAGGAGTGGTAAAAGTATTTACATTTTATTTTCCGGTCGCCGCCAAACGCGACCATGAAATATTTAGACGCAATGAAATAGTCTCGTGCTCGTTGTTAATTATCTTTATGAACTTAGCTGTTGCAAATAAGGGACTAGAAATTCATTTTGAGGTTAAGATTTTCTGTTATGAAAACCTCTTTATAATTATAAATCATTGTTCTTTTTCTTATCCCAAGCAAATGACAGTAAATACTTAATCGAATGGTCAGTATGGCGGTTTTGGACTGATGTTTTTCGTTACAAATACTGTTGCAAGATAATTGCCCATAAATGTGTCGAATCCATGCAAATGCGGAATTCTACTTTATATTTGGCGTGCAACTTAAAGGATACTTTTGAAGGTTAACGAGAGTGGAGACAGTTAGAGGCGTGCAAGTTGTAGCAAAGTTAAGCCTCTGTGGATTTTCATATGCCTTCATGGAAGATTATTTGACGTCTGTATATCCGCAGATTGAGCAAGGAAGCGTCGCACACCGGTCAGGTCAAGTAATGCTGGGCGACCGGCTTCTCAAAATCGGTGATCAGGAAATTACCACACGGGAACATGTGGTGGACCTCTTTCTTGGCTGTGGTCTGTGCGCTAAAATTACCCTTCTAAGGCAGACACCGTGGAAAGTGCTGCCTGGCCGTCTGCAACCGCCCTACCCCGGAAATCCTTACCCCGACTCGACTCTCGACATTGGTCTCACCAACACTGCATACGCCCACCTACCGGTAGGTTTTTTTCCATTTTTCCCCAGTTTCAGTGGAATGCCATCAACATTCCTTCAGATGACCACTAACAATTAGCACCAATAAGGCCTAATGTGGTATCGCAAATTCTGGCAGTTACCTTTGAATTATATTCTCCTTTCTTAAAGTAAGTAGGCGAAGGGCATAGTTAAAAAATGACAAGGACACTGACCACCAAGTAACGGTAGTTTCCGAAACCCAGGTGGCCATACTTTACTGGCAATTTTGGATAGCTAGTTCCGTAATTTCTGTTCACTCAAGGGTGAGTTAAATGTGGGAGTGTAGCATACCCTTGAATCGGCCAAGTAGTCTTATTGATGCATACTCTCATCGACCAATCTAGTATCAATACGACTTTTCCTTTAAGTAAACATAATGAAACCACTCACGTTGATTACATCTTTCAAATTTGAACTAACTAAACTTTAAAAAAATATATCGGTGCCACGGAGCAACCGTCTGCCATGGCTTTTAATATCATAAAACGCGGATAATGATAATTCATAGAATGTAGATAAGATAAAAATGTAGTTGTTCATCTCTGTGTTGGAAGACCTAAAAACTTTATTTCTGTGTGGCAACTTTACTGATAGTATTCTCGTTTTTCGCTAACAGGTTTGATGCACTGATTTTAGAGGCACCCAGTTTTTTTAGCTTATGAAAAGAACCTTGAACAGTGAACTTGGCTTGCTGCTCTAGCAAAATTGTCAAACAAAGCCAAGCATGCAGGGTGTTGACCAAGCCAAACAATCCACCAAGAATGCCGCAATTATGCATGACTCATTAACAAAACATGTGGCTTGTGAGCATGCATCCACGTGTATCTGATTGCCGAAGTGATAGGCTGATTCGTCAGCGCAGGTGTTGATAATAATAATAATAATAACATAATAAAAAATGAACATGCACTGATTGCGTGCGAACACCAACAACCGATCAAAATTCATGGCATGTGCCAAAAGTTGAAACTTAGTATCCAAAGCAAAGAATACATTTAAAGACATAAAAGACACCAATAATTCAAAGTGAATTCCAATGCATTCCCAACGGACATCGAAATTTTGTTGCAGTACAACGGGGAAGTTAGATGTAAAATGTGTATTAATAAAGTGAAAAGCCTCCTTTGGCTATCAACCTGGCAAAGTTGATTTTCCTTCAGGCACTAATTAAGAATCTAATACATTTCGCAAAAGTTTTCAAATAATTTTTTTGGGAAATATTCTTTTCTTCCAATTTCTTGCAAATTTACCCCAATTCTAAATTTTTCCGATTAATTATATTGAGCATCGGACTATTTGTACAAGAATGTGATGGTTTTAATGCGCCATACAGTCTCTTATCCAGTCAACAATGGAAAACCAGACTCTGTCCAATGAGTAGCGATCGTGAGCCGTTTGATAATAGATCATTGAAAATGCAGACGCCTGGATCTCTGACATGACGACTGATCACCGACATGATCAATCACTCTTGAATTAACCAAGAAAAGTTGTAAAGTGAAACTCCTGTAAGGATATTCCATCAGAATGTTCAACATGGGACACAGGAAACTTTCGAAGTCAGGGAGTAAGACAGGGGGTTTAAAGTGCCGATCACAACTCGAGGTGGTTGAAAGTGAAGTTGCACAGTAAAAAATCTAGCCGTTGATCCAAACTTCAAGCGATTTCCACAGAATCTTGAGTTCGTTTTCTGTCAATAGTGAAGTGCTTGTCTGTACTTTGCAAAACATTAAAGATGCTGTCGTGAAGTGCTTCCAGAGGCTTTCAGACGCCATCGATGTGAACGAAACGACATGGAATAGCAGGTAGAATTGGCTAAATTCGGATCAGACGTGGAGATACGCTAGGTCAACGAGGCACATTCTCCATCATGAAGTCTTTCAGTTTACCTACGTAGGATTCAATAGAGATTTCAACAATATCACCAGAATCGGCAGTCACATCACCTGAGAGGCACAAAATTATTTTTAGAACAAGTTCCAGTGGAGCGGAATTGATGCCTTTCTTCACGGTATCATGGTTACCGAAGAGGTCCAGGGTTTATACGCTTTACCAGTTAGTCAATATGGCCATAGAAACAATGGGTGCTATTCATTGGAGATATATTACTTCAACAAATCCATTGGCACCGGGATATTTGAACGTATTCCAAGTCTTTTACTTCCATGAAAACGCTTTAGACCCCGAAAAAAACATGATACAAACTGCGCGCCGAAATTCGGAGAAGATGGGATTGGGGAGTGTGAAAATCACCATCCAAGATTTGATAAACGCGCGATTAGGTGTTTCGGTCACAGTGCCTTGACTTTTAACCCCTATGAGTCGATGTGTGAAGCGATTCACACAAGTGAGCACGTAGGTGAATCCACTAGATGGAAGAAGAGGTCAAATAATAGGTACGTGTATGTCAAAAACACTCGTCTAGGAGAGGAAAATGGCATAAGGCTAATTTATCGTGTCTGGAGACTTTTTTGCGTTGGTACTGGACACAGAGGTTGGTCCATATGCAGGCGTCTTTGCAAATGATAGATTAGGCAAAACGGCCAGTTATCAAACCCATTGTAGAGCAAATGTCCGAATGTAACAGGTAGTAGAGAATTTAAGACACTTAGTTTTTATTTGAGAAAAGACAAAAGAACAGTATTCTCGCACATCATTTTGTTGAACAGTGGAAAATTGACAGCTTAGGATTCACAAATCACACACTTGTGCCCCTACCAACTGCTCTGAATCGACAAGGAAAGTTAACGAGTGAGAAACTTGTGACCTGGAGACAGTACCAGAGGCAGCTATGAAGCAACCAGGGTTCCATGGGTTTGTATGGTGAATACTGCCCAGGTAGTTTCCAAAAGCCTTGAACCAAGCTTTTATGATCAGTAAATAGTGTATATTCACGCCTTTCCAGTTGCCGATGGAAGTATTTCACAACAAGGCAACTCAGCAACGGTTCTTGTGAAAAGATTCTGTAACGGGCCTGGACAGGCTGAAGTTCATTAGAAAAGCTTAAAACTGACCCTGAACAACCATCAAACACCGCGTGTAGTAGGACGACGACAACGCCATGAAATAAATATATTTTGATGATACATTTTGCGTCGTTTGTAAAATTATACACTTTTATAAAATTCCGTATCATTACTGGTCGCCTGAAATTAGATTTCGGACTCGGCGGTAATGTTTGTTTTATAGGGATCCCGTAACGGTGGATCAGTTAAACGTGTAAACTTGCAACGACACGTGGTGTAAAAAGTAAATGTCAGGTATCAAAATCGAAAAAATCACTGGCACGAGCAACTCTTCATTAACAATTACATTTTCATTGAGAGATAACACTTTGTCAGCTGAGGCGCATTTTTCTGCGGAAATCCACATTGTTGATGTCAAAACCACAAACCCGGCTCTACCAAAGTCATTAAGACGATTAAAGTCTTGTTGTAAATCAGGTACATGTTAATCGTGTTTTTTGGTGGAATGAAGGACTTCGTCGACCACCAAAAATTGAATAGTTGAAATGTATTTGCTACCTTGTGCTTAACAAAAGAAATCTTCACAAATTCAGTTAATCCGAATGTATTAATGTATAATTCATAACAGATTGTAATTAGTTTTTGCAGAGTTTGGAATAAATAGCAAGTGATTGAGTGACAGAGGTCGTCAAGCGTTTCTGGTATTTCACTACGCTAAAATACATGTTCCTTTTGTCCTAAACTTTAGGATCAAGATTCTGGCATGGGTAGGACGACGGATGACAGTGTGCGAACAGAGGAGAGTTCCGAACAGGCAAGTCTTTTTCTATAGGGCATTTCTTTTCACTTTCCTTGCTTACTCGCATGATATTCCGTGAAAACCTGGGCTGCGATTTAGTGTTTGTGACCTCTTAGAATTGCATCTATATGACTGATTTATAGTAAGAACCAGTGAAAGGTGCCTTGTTTACTACGGTGACTAAGGTGACGTTTGCGTGTTTTCCTTAAATTCCATCATACCTGTGTTCTTGTACTGGACAGAGTGGTATTGGTTGCGTTTTTATCTACTGTGAGCAAAGCAGTTACTATAGTCACTGTTTCCTTCTTATTTTTGTGGTCAAGCCGTGTTGGGGATAAATTTAGTTTCGCTGTCAACTTCAAAACAATTAAAATGCCGTCGATACTTTTGACTGTTAAGCACTCTAAACTGAACATTTCGTAACATTTACATTAAAGTATAGCAATCTAATGGTGCTGATTTTTACTGATTGTGAAGTTGATGGATGCCGACTGCAAGAAGGGTCCCGTGTGTTTCAACGAATTAGGATGCTCTTGATCTGTTTTGTGTTGACGACATTGGCAACATTTTGTTCAGCAGACAGCACACTCAAGGGATCCCTGGTGCTATGCGTTTAGAAAAATTTTCGTTTCGTTCAAGTCATTGATATTCACGCCTCCAAGACTAAATAACGTTGGTTGCTTCGGGTTTTTCAAACTGAGAAAAGTTAGCACTCTGGTTTATCAAGTCCTACAGGGTGACTTCAATTTGAGGTGCCTACATGGGAGTGAACATTTGGTAGAAGAGGAATAAAATTTAATAGGCTGAATTATGAACATAAAAATCTCCAAGAATAAGCTGTGTTAGATGGTAATTCAAACATCTTTCAAATTAATTACAAATTTTCAAAGTGTGTGCCGCCTGTGACGCAGCACATCAATTCGATTATGGGGTTCGTGCTACACTCGTTGAGGTATTTCATGCCTAACGGTCGTCAGAACCTCCATGATTTTCCTGAAGTCCTTCAATACATGGAGGAATGGGGTGACATGGATCAGTCTCATCAGATAACCCCACCGAACGAAGTCCCACGTTGTCAAGTAAGATGAGCTTGAAGTTATTTCAAGAAAATTAAGTCTTCTGATCCAATATCCAGGCAGATTCATATTTTAAGAATGTAATGAAGTTAAGACATACCAATAAAGTCCCAGACAATTTAATGGGGTAGTCTACGTCATTCGGTAATAAAATTACGTCTAATTTTGAAGACATCTTGTACTATGCAGGTGGCAAAATAAAAAGCACAGATATCGTTGCTGCTCGTATGGGGCAACGACAACACCCCAATGGTTTATGTAACAAAATTAGCACAAACTATATTAGTATTCTTGCTTGTCTCTTTTATAACGCACTATACAGCCGAGGCTGAAACTATGGTTAAATAGCATTCAACTAACTTCCTTTCATCGTCCGTATTTTACTGAGATTATTATGTATCAACTTCATTCGAGAGGTGATTCTGTCCTATATCCGAAATTTGGCATTTTGGTTGCCTGCTATATTTTGTAGTCCAACGAAATTGGCAGCTGTCAAAATCAGAAACATTCAGAAAACTTAATTTTGCAGGGCAAAACGTATTATGAATTATGAAGGACACATTAAGTCTAAGCTAAATCGTTTAGCATGTTTGCTAGGGTCACTTGTGAAAGCGAAGGAGTCGCGGATTCAGCAGATGTGATTTATTCACCTCCCTTCATCATAATTCCGTGTTACTTGCAGCCACCTAACACCACTTATCTGAAGTTCGAAATAGAATTTTTAATATTAGCATGTCTAGATGTCAAGTATATACAATTTTCACTAATACTAACGTGTGCATTTATCGTAATCAAGTGAATGAACTGTATGCATTTTCCATTTTGTGTATAATTGATTTGTTGCTCTTGGAAACTGATTTGTAGATGAATTTGTCAGCCTATTACATGTCCGTGCTACAGCCCTGCCCATTTGAAAATCATGAAGCAATTTAACCTTCCATTACAGCTGTTAAATACGTTTCCAGTTAAAGCAGGTTTTTGTACGGACCCTCCTGTGGCGAGGCGCAACATACCAATTGGATTTGAAAATTTGTCCAAAATATTTTAAAATATTTCAAGTTTATGAACCTAGACAGCTGGCCTCGTTCTAGAGTTTTATTATTGGCGCCGCCTATCCCGTAGCCATCGCTTTTTTGACCCAAGGAAAATTCGCGTCAAAAATGATCACTCTTTTTTGCGTCTGACTCCCAACAAACTAGCCCAATCAGACAACTCCATGCCACACAACTCTTAAGGCGCAAACGAATCTTGCCAAGTCAAACAAAAGCCTTCATTCGCTGGTGCTTAACACATTTTAGAATCAGTAAATTGACGTTGAGCATTACCAGATCTGTCTAATGCATGAATTTGAGAAGTTAGCTGCTTCACTTGATGTCGTATCAATATTTCAGCATTATGGTCGAATGAGACAATGTAACCTTTTTAAGTCTAGGTTTTAGACGTTGCTATAAAACAAGTTTTTATAGGTCGACGAAATAGAGATATTGTCCGTAGAATATTTTTTGTGGTACGTTGCAATTGAGGCAGTGAATCTGAAATGGAAGTAGGGCATGCCAGATGAGGATAACAATTAAACCATTGAGGGGTGGAACATCGCGGAGATTCTATTTGGAAAGGTGTTAGCTCATAAGAATCGAGATTAAGGTGGGCACTTGTTGAGGTCACTACATTCCCGATTACAGAAAGGTTTGATCACGAGCTCTGCATAATTACACCCCTCATTCAAACACAAGTTCACAGCACTACCTTTTTATAACACTCATGGTATAACCACCAGGTCACCACCCGTAACTGCTATATAGATCACGCTTGTTAATGAAACCTAGAATGTGCAAATAGCGTTTGCATGATAATTTGCTCGTGTTTGCACAGTTACGAGAACGCCTCTTCGGGAATTTTCGCTACAGGAAACAGTTCTGAAGCGTGTCTGGCAATGCGCCCATGTTCAGAACAATTTTTCACAGCGTAAAATTAAAACGATGCATGGGGAGGTCTGAAATAAGAAGAGATTTCGCTCCAAAAAAGTTTGATTGGTGCTAACAAATTAACTGTTTTTTTTGAAGGAGGGAGAAGAACACAAGTTGATGAATAGTGTTCCAGTCTCATGGCCTCTCATGGATCCTAATGCAGGCAACCTCGCTCAAGCAGCAGCCTTCCTAGCTTCGGGGAAAAGTCACGTTCTGGACGAGGAGCTTATTCAACTGAGTCAACTGATGCAATCGCTCGCTCTGCACTGTCACAACCTTGCCTATGTGAAAATGTGCGGTGGTTTAAGTGCCGAGGGCAGTCTACAATTGCCGAAGGAGGGGGAAGAGGGTGAAGGGGTCGGAGGGGTGGTGGATGCGACCAACTCGCCGAATAAGACTAGGCAAACTCCCAGAATGGGACTTGGAGCAGCCTCTTCCGCACATAAATCATCGTCCACCTCTGGCCTTCCTCCAAAAAGTGGCAGAGGTAACTCGAAAACTAAAGGCACGTTTTTCTTAAATATGACCTCCTCTCCAACTCTCGTTATCGATTAAAATTGGCACATTACCCAACAATTTCGAGGGCCTATCCGAATGACTTGAACGTGCCGCTTGTTTGCTTTGCATTAAAATTCCGCCTCGGCGATAGACAGGAAGCGAGAGGTCTTTCTTTGAAAGGCAGAAAGTAGTTGTCCACTGTTATTGAAGAAAGGTCGTTACTGCGCACAAGCTGTACAGATAGGCAGAATTTTGTCTGCAGCTAAAAGGTCACTCGCGATGGCTGGCACAAGTGCCTGCACCTTACCCGGTTCGTGTTTTTTTCGTCCCAGTGCCAGTTGATGAGGCACCAACGTCCCACCGCCTTAGATCTCGCCGCTGTTGGAGTTGCATAGTCATTCGCGCTAGTGCGCACGTGCGCACCAACACCTTACGGATTATTCATCCTGTTGGTGGTGGTGGTGGTGGTGTGGGTTGGAGGGACGAAGAGGAGGAGCCTAGGCGAGACTGCAGTCCCTTAATCGCTCCTCTGAAGTTGGCCTGCTGCAGGCGCCACAGGAAATGCTTAACCGCGGCCGACGTGATTTATAACTTCTTTGACACGTCACGTGTGAAGGCATAAATATTTATTAAAGTTTATGCGCGCAATTTTTGTAAGTGGGCCACTTTAATGAAAGGGTGTTTTGCAGCTGTGTGGATACCCATGGGGATACATCTTAGTTTGTTTGGTTAAGCTAATCATCCTAAATCTTGATTTAGAATCAGATTTTTTAACGTGCCAAGAATAATTCATCTTTACACTCCGGAGCGCACTACCCTGAAGCAAACCCTTTTATCGTCAACATGCTTCATGGGCCAGATAGATTTCAGATGTAAACCAGATATCGATGTATGAATAAAAGCACAGTCAAATATTGCTGCACCGGATCCCCCCTAATTTCGGTTCAAAGGAAGTAAACCTGGTTCAGTGTTACTCTCACCTCTTCTCTTTCCGATTCGAATCTGTGCATTTGTTGACTAGAACAGTTCCTCGAATTCCTCTAAAACAATGAAGGAAACATTTATGTGTCTTAATTGCGGTATTTCAACTATGCAGCTTAGTTTCTTTTTCCCAAATCTCTAATAAAATATTCCTAATGATCCTCTTTTGCCAAATTAGCATAGCATTTTTTAATTTGCTCTGTCATTTTATTATGGACCTGGATGGATTATTCTATTGATGATACTTGATTAGGCAGTATGGCCCATTACAAGTCATAGATGCTGACACATTCGTTGCAATTGCAAGAAATTAGTGGATCTAAGAGCGCTGGTTTCCTGTGAAAAGAGGGCGTCTTTGTACAGTAATGCTGATAAGTTAACCGAAAACCAAATTAAGGAAAGGAAAGTTAGCTTGTAATCATACTAGCAAAATAAATACGAGTTAAAGGTAAAAAGAATAATAAGCTTGGAAGTATTTTAACTGCATTTTGCTTCAAGATTGAAAATTTTCAAGTTGACATTAAAGTAAGGAATCTGCAACTATACTCATATAAAGATATCATGCGGATGTGTGTGAAATTTACGATTCACTATACGATTTTTACATGTCGTCAGATTTAGGCTTTGGCAACAACCTAGAGGTTTTTCATGAAAATGAAATGCTATCACCTGGTAGCTCAGAAATACAGGGATTCGAAATGAAAAAAAATTGTCCATGACCTCCAACATCTTCCCAAAGCAACACTTTCCCCCTATTGTCATTACACTTATAATAATTTTCTAAACGTCGATTGATTTCAATACCTAGATACTTGTTTCAAGAACAGCGTTTACTGGTTACTTTCCAGAATCTGTTCCTCAGGATGATGCACAATACCACAGATGCACTTATTGATTGCTTCCCGTAACTTGACCCATAACCTACCGGTTGCCAGACTGTCTTGTCTCCTTTTTTTATAAACTGCGACATTTTCATTCCTGTGTCTTGTCTACACCACTACAATTGATTAACACCCTCAGCGCGAGCGCAAATCGTCATTTTGTGCTGAGTTTTGCGAGCCAAATTAAATGTCAATGTTTTTGCACTGTGCGTCTGACCTTTCAGCTAGGGACCGAATTACGTGCGTTGTAATGGCTAAACAACTTTAGCACAGCTTACAAAAAATGGACCAGGAAAAAGGCGTGACAAAGCGAAACAATTTTTTGCATTGTTTAGTTAACCTACTTTTTGGAAATGAATCATTTTTTGGGGCAATTATAAACATATAAATTTGGGTACTCAAGCACGGAACGCAAAATATTCGTGAATCTGCATATCTCACAATTCCTCCATGCAGTTATTCCTCTCTTAGTTAAAAAAAATGTCATTAAGTGTTCAGCCAGCAGCACGAATGCAACCGAAATGTGAAAAACCTTTTATCACGACGACGGCTGTTGGCGACATTAACATGTTGGAACATGCGTTGTGAAGGCTCAGGTGCTCTTACCTGTCTTTCAGTCCTTAAAACGCATCTATGAGGCCTAGAAAAAAAGCTATAGCTGCGTTTCGTAAGTGCAAGTTCCTTGAGGATGCTAAGTCTAACCTGAAACCTTAAGGACGAGTGCTTAGGGAAATCGGGAGGAATTAACTATCCATATTCTAATTTCAGTTCCCGCAGAGCCAAGCTGCGACTCACCTGCTTTCAACGGCGGTTACTATGAGGCCGTAGTGAATCCGAAGCGACCTGGTAACCCACTCACTCTTTCCCTTTCCCACCGACAAACCCCATCGGCACATCTACCAGCTCCACTCGACCTTGACACGTCCCTTCCCCAAACCAAGTGTCTCGTGTCAATACCAGCGACGACGTCGACAACGAATCCCTCCTCCATCTGGTCGATAGCTGAAACAGATAAAGAATTGCCAGTACAGCAATCTGTCAGATTCAGTGTGGGAAGCCCATCGCAGTTCATGCAACAGGGAAGCCGATCAAGTCATGTTGGGTCAACAAGTAGCTGTGAAAGACAAGGTAATTCTGAAGTTGGATACCTGTCCACACAATTCACCTTCAATTCTTCGTCAGTTGCATAGACTGAACAAATCTCGTCTAAAAAGAAGTCCACCTAAAACCCAGGGCTTCTGAAGAGGAGTCTGAATCTTATTAATTCGTCTGCCCAAGCTTTTTGTTAATCAGTTTTCGAATTCTAGGTAAAATATGTCTCCGGGCGAACAGCGAATAGCTTGCTGATGAGACTTGTTATAAACGCATTCGTCCCGTAAAAGGATTCCAAGGCATCATAGAAATTTCTAACCAGTAAATACTTCAAATAAATTATGTCCACTAACTCAGAGGTCTATGACTGGCAGTGAATTAGTGATGTGGAAAGTGAAAGGCAAAGCAACTCATACCCTAAGGCCTGTTTATAATCGAGGCAAATGATTCATTCACAAGGGACTTTCCCGTCACTCTAATTTCCTTTGTACCCTAAAAACATTTGCATGAATTTGGATGTACGTTGGCTCTCTACCACCAGGCTTCACGTTGTATTATTATGAATTGCGGCATGTCAAGAGTTGAGTAGTTTTACATTAACCTATATACTACTCACATTTAACCAAGTTTACATCCTAAAAATAATTCAGAACTTCTCAGGTAGGGAATGCGTCTTAGTTCTTAAAGCATTTAAAGGAGTTTTATGACCACTTAGTCTCAAAAAGCTGTCTTTTTGAAGTCGTTTGTTTTTTGCCTAATATTAGCCCGTCAAGTTGCTACACCGCCTGTCTTACAACTACAGATAATAACTTAGGCCTACAAGTATCCAAATTATTTTTAAAAATTGCAAATCCTTATGTCAACAAAAATTAAAATGTAAAATGCAAACGACATTTTGTGAATGAGAAACATGCCTTATGAAAAAACTACATTGATCCGTTGCTTAGAATATCTGGCCAGCCTACTTGCTTTCTTTACCAAAGTATTGAATTGACCTAAACGACTGGTTTTAGATGACGTTGGGTCATCGCCATGTGGCAGAAGTATTTGAAGTTCTAGACTACATTTTGCAGCTTTGTATTGAGCGGTTCTCGCAATCAGTAGTTTAGCATTGGCGTGAATCGACTTTGTCGTTTTTGGCGTTTTTGTCGTTTTTGTCGACTTTGGCGGTTCAAAAATAGCACAACGCGAGACTTGATCCACCCAATTCACATTTTTGCACACGAACGAAGGTTTTACGAAGGTCTGCATGCGCTCTCCTACTCTCAGGCATCTGCACCGTCTTTCAACGAGTCATAGATGTGTTTCTGTTAACTCCGTCACCATTGATCAATGACCTAGTGACGTCATGATTGGTTGAAAAACTGCGATTTCTGGTATCAAGGCGATTGGAGAGTGTTTGATGGGTGATGCATCTTACTCCAAATCTTCATCAACATGTTGGTGTAATACCCATTATCGGGCACAATCAAGCCTTTTGCTACAGTTTGAGATGATGCAATTAAAAAGGGATTAAATAACACGGTGCACTATTGGCCGCAAGATAGATGTTCCCTCAGACGGCCTTCGCATCCATCTTGACTACACCACACTTGAAGATCACTGATGACGCGCTTTCCAATTTGTAAATTTACCACAGATTTAATATGAGGAAAGGCCCCAGGTGATCCACTTGAGCGTAAATTTTTAACATTAGTCTGGGCAGTCATGATCAAAATCCTTGTTTGTCTGCCTTTGTGAAACAATATTACTCAGTTTTTAATGGAGCCAGCCTCAAGATTTGTTTTGTCATCAAACGAGTTTCCTATTTCTCTGAACAAAGACAAGACCTTTGCACCGACCTCTATTTAAATAATACAGAGTATGAAAGCAATTAATTGTATCGTATGAAGCGCACACTTTACAATCTTTTTTATTTGTAGTACACTTCAAAACTGATTAAATGATGCCACCTGAGTAGTTGAGTTCTCTAAGACACCAATTTTTTTTGCCAACATGAACTGTATTCAAGTGAGTTTGTGTCACATTTAAGAAAAAACAACACCTATATGTAACGGTGGTCGCAGACTTTCATTTTCTACGGATATGATGTATCTCGGTCTCAAGAGAATACTTCTGTGTAGTCGGTTTTGTTTAGCAATGCTAAATTTGATACCGAATAGATCGTAAGTAATATGCATGTTAATAGATTCGTTAAGTCGTTGAGTTATTTGCTTAATCTGAATTACTTCAACACGAACTGATCCACGTTTTTGAGAATCTACAAGCGCCTAAGCTTAAATCTTCCTGTTATTGCTGAAAAATGCTAATCTCTTGAGCCTTTTATGAAAAATCGCACAACAGTGTCTACTAAAAACACTTAAATGAATTGGCATTAAACACACAAGGAAGTGAAAATAGCTTCACTGCGACTTCGAGAGCTTATTTCTGTCAGAGACATCAACTAGATGCTTCGATATACGTGACATTTTTGTTTAAAAAAAGCATCTAAAGCGAAGCAGCACTATCATAACTTGTTGCGTACACCAGAGGTTATGTCCTGAATGTAGACTTTCAAGGTAGTAAAACTCAACGAAGTGTGAATACTGTTTTTCATCGTACCTTCAGAGAGTAATGCCAGTCTCAATGACGTTAATGTTTCCAAACCGCCTATTCAACCGTCAGTCCAGCATCAGCAGTCTCAATCGGCCGGCGGAAGTCTCAGTGGCAGCAAACTCTCTTGTGTGTCATCCTGCTCCAACACCTCCAACTCGCGTCTCACCCGGTCGCCGGTTTCATCCACTGCAGAGCATTACTGCCCCGTCCGTGGTGGCAGTGGCCCGCAGGAGTACGCTTTCGACTGTCTCGCCAACAACCCCGCCTACATGAACCCCATTCACGGGGCTCCCGGAATGTTCTTCCCCCCATCATTTATCCACCCTTACGAATTCTACGATCGATACTTCAAAAACGGACTCCCTCCTCCACCTTCAACTGGCATGTTGCCATGCTTCAGATATCCTTCACCTCAACCGCAAACATGGATGTATTCTAGAAAGTCAGAGAATGACGAAGACAAATGCAAGGCAAGTGTTATAATTTCTGTTTAATACAAGATTCAGCAATAATTACTGACGTAATGGTGTACAGGGCAGAAACCAGTGAAAACTGGTCACTACTCCTACCATTTCAATGAGTCATCAACTAAACAGGTAGCACTTAAGTCTTGGCATTTGATCGTTACGGCTCAAACTGAAGAACAAGGATTGACCGTCTTTCCTGACCAGTAAAACAAACAAAATAGTTTTCTGTTCTAACGAAGCCTCCCAAAATGACGGTGAAATGGTCTCAGATTCCAAATAGGACATGAAAGATCTTACAACTAGGAGTCTTGTAATTCACTGGGCTTTCTGGTTTTAATTAAAACAATCGTAGGTTAGATTAATAGCCCCTGAAATCTTTAATTTTTAGGGTTCCGAAATTGATCTGCTTCATGGAGTTGATCTAACGAAAATGGCCTCTGATAAAGTAGCTGAAACTAACATGTTACTGTCCGCTAACGAGGGCGACATGGATTTACGCATTTATTAGACATGTTTTAATATTTCATGTGCACTCTAAATTCTCGTGATTCGTTCCTTGTTAAAATTTTTACGTAATAAAGGTAACGTTTTGTGGTTCGTCTGACCTTCGCTGTCGATCGTCAACAGTAAACAAATTAAACACGGAGCACAGGGCTATGTTTGTGCGGGACTCAAAGACCGCTTTGAAGGCGCGCATCAACATTTATATCTCCTACCTTAATACCATTGCCCTTAGAGCATTGGATTTTGGTTCCATCAAGCTTCAACTCCGAAAACCAAAATTTCAGAACTTCAGACAAGATTAATAAACACAGGCTGGTGTTCCTGTAGAAGTTCTAGTTGTCAAGACTCACGATCTACGCGAAATGGGGGTAAATTAACGTTTCGTAACAGAATTCGCTCTTTAAACTATGTGCAATTTATTAAAAAAGTGTGTTATTCTGTAAATGGCAGACTGCGTGTAAAAGTACTCACATTACTATTTGTTTGCCTGCATTTGTTAAATTGCACCAGAAGCGAGTAGAAGAGAGGTAGGGCTAGAGCGTATCAGTATAGCAAAATACTGACTGAGTAGCAGTCGGTCTTAGACAAAATCAAAGTAAGCAAAAGATTAATTTGCATGCGGTTGCTGTTAACGTGTACAAAACTAGTTCAAATGAAACCCTTATAGAAGTGAAAAATTTTCGCCTATTTGATAGGTGCTAATTTTGTTAAGGCTCAAAATGGCGTACCTATGTGATAAACATGCAAAAACGTGTAAGCCAGGCCCGGTGCCAAGATTATCTACAACTGTGATAAAAACTGCAAGAAACAGACGCAGCCATTCTGGTTAAATGTAGGATTGTTTACATAAAATTTATAAAACACGTAAAATGATCGAATATCAGCAGTGAACAAAATTTAGACCTACTTAAAAACATGCAACCATTTGAAGAAAAGATGTTCTCTAGAATTTCTTAAAAGGCTAGATTGTTACCGAAATTTTTGAAATTATTTCTAGGATGACACAGCTTCCTCAAATATCTACGAAACTCCTTATGCAGCAGTGGATGTTGTAGGACCTCCTACAAAGTCCCCCGACAATAATTCTGTTTGCTTCACGTCCTACGGCCTGTTAAATTCAGCCAGTGCCGGTCAAGGCACGACATCCGTTGGCAATGTCTCCAAAAGTATCGAAAAACCACCTCAGAACCGACCACTGATGGAATGGGTCGTGAAGAAACGAACCGACGGAACACGCTATATCACCAGACGTCCAGTTAGGTATGTATCCCAGTACTTATCCTTCCAAGCTCACCAATCATTTATCTATAACTTCAGTGGCATTTTGACCAACTTGTCTACAGCCCTTAATAGCAAGTATTCCGTGGCCTTGGCTCCTTGTAAGTTTGAAAATAATTCATGAATAAAGACGCATGCTCTTGGAGAACGTATGGGACAAGCAAACATGTTGGTCCTCGGAAACCAAGATGATGAAAATGAAAGGACAAATGAGGACAAGCACTATTACTACTTTAATATTCGAGTGCAGCCCCATGATGGGGACACATTTGTAGCAGAAAGTAATAGAATTTCGGCACAGATTGATGGCAGCTCACTTTTGCTTTATTGACTCATGTGGCTTTTACTAATGTTTTGAAACGGCTGCCTGCTTGCATGCCAGGATTTGTTAAAATGACATGAAAATATAAAAAAAAATAGTGGATGCTTTAGGCTTTCGAATTAAGAGCTCCGATGTAGTGGAAAGTAATGTAAGACCAAGAAAGAGAAAAATTTGTCATGAAGTAAAAATGAGTGCTGAAGTACGAGTAGCTTCACAGCCCTTTTGCTGGTCAGTAAAAGCCTTTGTTCCTGGATTAAATTCACGAGGTTATTGATGTTTAACTCAAATAATTTAATTTATGTCACCAAATGCACAGGCTTATTTAGCACTAACAAGTGTTAAAAATTTCATAAGCTCATTCTAAGATTGACTTTACGCGTAAGTTAAAGGTGAATTGAAAGCCTCCTTAGAATCATCAGATTTCAGCTAGTTCAAATAGTCATATTTGTCAGATGTAAATACGAATGAATGCACTGGTTAAAATAGACACACGGCCACTAAACAATTTCACATGAAACACGTAAATCACCAAAACCACTTGTGTGAGCCAAGGGGATAACCTTTTCCATCTGCTTATTGCATGATTGATTGACCTAAAATGATAAGAAATGCAATTTTCAATTGGTGAGTGTACTTTTACATTAATCAAGTATGGTATTAATTGACGACAGACTGTGTTTAAGTAAGTGGAAGGTGAACCACCAGCCTGTTCATTTGCACACAATGCACAATGTTCTGATAAACAATACCCAAAAGGCCTCAAATTGTAATCAGACAGGCCCGGCGTGTGACTGTTGTTTTCGCATTTGAAACTGGCTTCCACCTTTGAGCGCCAAGCATGCAGCCCAGCGATACAGTAGACTCGGGTTTTCTTGGAGCTCATACAAATGTGTTCGGTGATTTTCTTTTTCATATTAGTATTTTCTGAGATAGCACATGGAAGCAGATGCCTGTTTTTGAGGTCTTGTGATAACTTAAACAAGTGCCACGTCATCAGAAACGGTGGGCATGAGCCCAGGCCATGCAACGCTCAGCATTTCTTCCATCTTCCCGATTCTTTTGTTTACAGCTTGTCTTTTGGGCTGCTAGTCACAATTTCAGCAAAATACAGTTTCAGTTACATCTCAAATAAAAACAAGAACTATCTCCAGAACAGCATTAAAAACAATAAATTCCACGACTTACAAACATAACTGAGTTGAGTTTAAAATTTCATTTGAATGGCAAAATTATACCCACCGTCATGTCAAAAAGTCATTCATAAACTACCATGATAATTAACCTTTCAAAAAAGTATACTGTGGTCAAAATCTTTAGCTTCACGCGGCTCACGGGTTTTTTTCCAGAAAGGTTTGAACGAAAATATTGCTGACGCAAGCCGGGTACTGATGATTTCACATAGTGGCGTTTGCAGGGCACTGTTACAGGCCCAGATTACACAGGCTTCCAGTTCGGTGGTGACTCAACAGCTCACGCTGGTTCCACCGCTTCGGAACTTGGCCGGCCTGCAACCCGGTAAATCATGGTAGCTTGTGGTTTTGTGACTTTCTGGCTTGCAAATTTCCCAGGTCATCTTGCTATCGAAATAACCACAATGTGTGGCTTTAAATAGCGGTAGGGGAAAGTTTAAAATAAACATTGGAAATGCGGGTAGAACTGAGTTTTATTATGCAATTATTTTGGGTTTTTGGTTCGCGTTTTCGCCACATGCCTACAAGCGATTTGGGATCATGCTCACCTCTCCGTCCTTAAATAACGAAATTGCTAGGAATTGATTTTTCATGCAAATTAAGACAACCACCTGTACTTTATGCATGACAATGTATGCGTCGTGCTAAACATTAAAGATAATTCTATGCTGTAATTTGTAAAAAAGGATTTGATCAATTTCAAGTTGCATTACCTTGCAGTTGGCTCCTGCGAATGTTTATGTAACGGATTTCTCCCTAGCTGTAACTAGTTAATTCATTAAGACGTATAACAACACTTTATCTAGGATTATTATTTGCCTCTAAGTCGTAGTTAGGTGATATCTATACGATTACTAATATTAGAATACAATTTAGAAAAGCTGGATCAAATATTTTTTGTATGAAAGTGAACCGGAACCATTTTACGCTACTTTTCTCATTCTTAAATGATTTATTAACGAATTACTGGCATGCCAATTGCAATACCTTTATCCACAAACTTAAGGCTGAACGACTAAAGTTATAGGCTTGCTTCATGGTTTAGAACATCGAAACTATTTTGTTTTGCGCAAATGCTAACAATCCACTTCGTTGCTTGCAATAATTAAAATGCATCAGCGGTCTATTCCGATAACACGACCCTCGGCCAAACTTGTTGGTTTATTTTTCATTAATCCCACATCCCAGTTTTGTATGGCCTGGCGTTTGGACCAGTGTATCTCTGTCTCCGCCCGTCAGCCCCGTAATCTTCATTCTGACCTAAGAAATAAGCTACCTGGATTAATTTTTTTATTAAAATATATCCTTTGCAATTAAATCACGTGTATGCAAACTTGCACCTAAACAATCATACGTTCCCTCCACGTAGGTCAGGTAAACGGTTATTTATGTGACAAACTGGTAGGTGATCGTTTCAAACGATAACATTTCATCCTCTAATACAAAGCTATTCGTGACTGTCAGTGCAGGTGAATATTTTCCGGTAAAACAAAGAGAAATGTGTGGTTCGTTTTTCTTGAAGGAATCGTCTACTAAAAGAACGGGCCCATAAACTCGCAGAGGAACGAGCAGGTCTGACAACGGACGATGACGGCCAGAGCGATCCGCGGGGCCGTAGTGGCGTATCCCCGGCCCCCGTCGCCACATCCAGCCGCCACCACAGCAAGGGCGAGCGCAAACGACACGAGCCCGGTCCGGACGCCTACCGGTCGTGCAGCAAAGCTGATCGCGGCTCCAGCAGTTATAGGCGTCGCACTACACCAACCAGGGCTGAGAAACAACCCCCCAGCACTGGCGGGCTCGTCTCGCTCACAACTGTATAGATCATCCAAACCTACAGCTATGACGTGATTGCCTCCACATCGCCTCTCCACTCAGCAACACCTTTTCCATCCATTAAAATACCAACGTTTGCACGCTAATTGTGAATAAGAAGCCTAAGGCGTGCTTCTCGTAGCATTGATTAACTGAATATAATGCAAATAAAACATCACCTTTTATTGTGTATCCACGGAAATTGAAGTCCAGTAGATGCTCTATATTTGTGAACAAATCCGGCTCAACTTGTATATGGGCTCGTTAAGCCTAGTGCAGCCAGCTTAGCTTTTTCAAAGTCTAATTTAGATGTGCAAGAAGCAGTCCCGTATTGTCAATGATTCCGAAAAGATTTGTTTGCATAAATGCAAAGGCTTTTTGTCAGGTCAGAATGGTCTTGCTGTGTCAGTTCTTTCAGAGTCCGTCGGACTGCGATGAAGTTAAATTTGAACAACAGGTCTTGGATTGTTTGTTTCACGCCAATGTGGCGCAACGCACTATGTACCTTGACAATAATTCCAACCTGTCTACGTTTCCTAATAATTTATTGGTGGTTTACTTAAAATCAATTAGTTACGGAGTTTACTTTGTATATCATAACATCCCAAAATTTGCCATGACGGTGATCCTACCCCACACAAAAAAGTTTCTGATAGAAGCCGAGTAACGATTTTGCATATTTAAGTGTAAGGTATTGTCACTCTACGCAGTAATTCCGATTCTTTTAGAAGCATAATTCTGGAATTCGGAGGCCCTAGAAGCTGATTCTCTGATCATTCAAAAAAAATACCAAATTGCTTATGACCTAGGAGATCCGTAAATGAAAAAAGGAAAAAAAGAAGAATTGACGCATTATGTATGACAGCAATATCGGTGTGCGTATCCACTCAAAACCTCCACGGCCCACTGTTATAACCGTTGTCAAGTCTAAAGGAGAAATTCTAGTCGAGCAATTAAATGCCTTTTTGAGCTCCAAACTGTCATAGAAAGTGACGACTAATGTGAAAGATTCACAAAAACGACCATTTGGAAATGTCAGGCTATTTTACTGCTAAAAGCAATAGCAGATATAAGTCAAAAGTTGCCAATGAAGAGCAGAGAAACTAAAGTAAATCCAGTTCCAAGTTTACAACCAGTGAAAAAGAGTTGTGCAAGCATTTTGACTGGCTTGTAGTAACCACAAGACCCAAAAGTAACCTTGTTTACTAATCTAAGTGAGCTTGAGTCGCCTCAACGCACTATAAACTCATTTTGCACATTGTGTAAATCGCTGTGAATGCGGAGCTCATTATTCTAGTTGCTCAAGCTGTACCCGTCATTAGAGATCTCGTTTTATGTGGGTGGGTTTGCTGTAAATAATACTTATGGATTTGAATGACACTAGTGAGGCATGCAAACGAAGGGCTCTCTTGCTAGTGTCATTAACCGCAAAGTGGTTCACACAAACAGCTACATGTGGGATGAACTTTAAATTGGCACTAATTTCTTCATCATCAGAATTTACATTTAATGGAAAGTAGGATAAACTAGTGATGCCATCATCAATCCTAATTTTATTTAAAATCCCGACAGCTTACCGGCTACTGAAATAATTAGGTAGAATGGAAATATCGGTTAGGGAAAATAAGATTGCACTTCGAATGTTGATTGCGTAGAACTACCCCACAGCTCAGTCCTGCATTCCTTATGGAAACAAATGCTACACAACAAGACACTGATAAATAAAGTTGGAAACTGTTCAGTTGCATTTGCCCTGTGCTCTGAATGTTAATGTTGAACTTTAACAGTTGTTACGCGTCTTTTGAAGTTGTCTTGCGTCATTCGCATGTTACACTTTCAGCGAATGCACCAATCTTAAACGTCAGTCATGAAGCAAAACTCTACCTTTTATTAAATTTGACTTGATTCTATTTTTTCCCGAATTTTTTGTTAATGCCACCAAGCTCACCGCATAAAATTTGCTCCTTTTTTTTAAAAAAATGTTTTTATAAACTATTTAGCAGCTTTTAACCCTAGCTGAGCTCATTTTAAGTTACCGTTGGCAATCTTTCTTAGTGCTTTGCTGGATGCGCGTTGTTCAACTTAAGATCTAAAGTAAAATTTTCCTGTGACTGCATAAAACTGAGTCTATAATCGAAAATACGTACCGTTCGCGTTCACTTTGTTTCCCAGAACAGTATGCAGTCCTGCGACAGAATATCCGCTGCAATCTACAAAAAGCCTTATAATTTTCTGCGATTAGTTCGAGGATTACCTTGTGAGGTATGATAAGTCGAATAAAAGGCAACCTGAGGAATCTTCGAAGTGATTTGGAAATTTGTGTTTTTTGTAAGTCTTGCTATTCCGACAAAAACCAGCCATGTTTAAATAAACCCCTTTTGTTTAACTAAAATTCAATTCACTACCTAGTTGCAAGTCATTTTTGGCAATTGTATTGTGGCAAAAAAAATCTAATTCAAATTTCCTTGCAAATTGTTGCTAGTTCGCAAGATTTATTTTTTTTACTAATTTGCAGCTTGTAAAATAAACCCTTGAATTTTCTTAAAAGGCTCTTCACAGACACCGAAATTGTTTTTTTTGGATAATTAAGAACTATTGTGGAAAGAGATAAACCACTGTACAGCCTAATTTCATCCACTTGCGATTAAGTCCTCATTTTAACCCACAATGTATTTAATCAGTTCAAAGTTAAGCTTCCATAGCTACAGCTTGTTTTGCCACGCCCTAAAAGAGACGGCGATATATGTATCCATTTCGCTGTAATTTGATTGACGACAATGTCGAATCACACAACATCAGGGCAATTACTATCGCCCCCTCTGCAATATCTTAAGCGTTCTTAAAAATGTCATTCAGCCAAACACACAATGAAACTGATACAGACAGTGTCTGCTCAGTTTGACGAAATGTGATAACGGCCACTAGCAATTAACAGTAATCGCCAACTTTCATTTTCGTTTGCACTGTAACCCGTGTCTGGCATCAGAATGGAATTTAATGTTCAATATTACTCCAAGCCCGCCAGCACCAACATTTAATCAATCATAACCGAACGCTGTCGAAGCCCACGCCACTGAGTCACATAGTGAGCTGTCGTAACTCGTAACTCGGAACAAGTGGGAAACAAAAATACAGAAACCAATTAATTTCTAGCCTGTGTTGATGGACTCATATCATTGTTATAAATTTAATTACTGTGATATTTATATTTAAAGCAAAGGGCCAAACAATTACTTTGGTAATTTAGTTACAGTTCGCTTGTTGAGAAATTTCCATTAGCGTAATCACTATTGCGTTTCTTGGTGAAATCATGGAATGAATCGCCAAGTCCGTTTTCCTTTAGCAATTGGATAGCCGCAACGGCTGCGTGCATGCATTTGCATGTGTCCCTTCATTGTTCAGTTGTGTGGCCACGCATCGAAAGAGCAACGTATCTTTGGAAACATTTGCTTTTTTGAAGTAGTTGACCACTACATATTTTTTTCTAGACGTTAACCTAACCATACATCAAGCCTTAGTGGTTCACCCAACATAATAAATTTCCATTTGATGGTATTTACTACTATCCAGCCTAGCTTACTAATGGAATTGCTGGCATGGCAACTGGATGCAGGTGTTTAATGTGTGTTTGATTTTAGTAAATTGCCGTGTGACAGTCATTTTTTTCCTAAACTTGATCGCACAAAGAGTCAAAAAAAGATAATTGCCAGGCACCTTACAGCGTCGAGCGTTCCAATGGGGTCACATGCTGGGTTTAAGCTTTCACTGTGTAGAGATGTCGTACCTTGGAAACCCATTCAACACATTCTGATTCAAGAGCTTCACAGTCTTTCTACACTGCCTCTGCTAGAGATACTGCTTGCATTGTTGTAGAGTTATGCCGAAAATTATGGTAACTTGAAGGGTTTTAGGTGCAGTAGCACACATTATCGCTACCAAACAGCCCATTTTGTGCAGCAGCCAAGTCGGGACGGCAGAGCTGATGTCAAGCTTATTTTAGACGTATTTTGTTGACTTTGGTAGTCATAATTTCCATTTTTAACAAATGCAAAGACTACTTGGTTTATGGAATTTGTCCTTGATAAGGATCAAATGACCAATTAATTTTAGCAGATACGAGCCTCTCAGACCGATTTAGTCTTCATGCTCCAAGTAGGTAAACATGACACAACTTGACCCATAAAAATGACATAGTGTGTTCTTTTTTTAGTAGACTTAAAGGTTTTTAAGACAAACGAAATAATTTGTCAACGGACGCAAACCGCTGCTAACTACAGTTTTATTGTCTTCAAGGGCGGAGCAAACTCTTTTTGCTCCCCTACGTTCCAGTAAAGGTGGTTGTGGGCTATTTCGGCATATACGTAGTGGCAATGGAAAAATTAGATATTTCCTTCGGTGCCTCGTTCCCCTTTTTTTCAGAATCTTTCAACTATGCCATTGCTAAAATGTACGAAATAAACATTATCTCAAATTTATTTGATAAAAGTGGTACACAAAAGCCTATTTTAGTTGTTTTCTGACAAAGCATATATTGAATCCCTATGTAAGGATAAACCGACTTACACTTCGTTGTTCAGATGCAAAAAAGACGCTTTTCCTGGTCTGTCCCATGTTCTCATCACGCTGAACCACATCGGACGATGCAGTACCTATTGCTGGCATATTCTAACTAAGTAATAAAGCTGTCTTAAATGAATACATTTTGCCATACAAGGTCTATCACCAACTGTCGTAAATATCACTTGAGTTTAATAACAGGAAAATAGTAAGAAATAGAAAATAAACATAAGTTTCAAGCACCGCATATTCGTCGTCTTGTAAAAATGATTTCGAGGTAACGCATATTTCATAACTACTCTCTGCCTTTCTGCAATGAACTTATACCAATTTAAAAGCTCAGCGTCAATCATCGTAGACTTCTGCTGCTTATTGCTTTATGCAACAGGCTCAGCGCTGCCTCGTGACAGAAACTGAGCCAGGCATTAGACGACCCGGAGGGAAAGTGTGGTTAACTCAAAAGGTCGACGTTACCTTAGATGTACTGAAAGGCGTCTAGTAGTTTGCCTTGACTTAGGTAACTACCAACCGAATCCTAAAGATATATTTTGTTGATAGGTTGGGCACTTGAGAGAATAAAAAAACGTGAGAAGGATCTTTACGACTTCAAGTACAACTCATAATTAAAGCTCCAAAACACATTCCTTCAATTCATAAGTTGCTCTCAGATAAATAAAGTGGTCGTTTTTGTGAGAGTCGGGTACTTAGGCTTCATTAGGATCCATACGACAATTAAACGAGGCAAATGCTTACAATTCATAAGGGTGAATCAAAATATCAATCAATTTGAAATCGGTAGGTGAGCGTGGTTGAAATTAACAGGTCAAGCAGTTGCTAGGAGGCTTTCAATCATCCAGCACTGTAGAACATTCGACACTGACTGGAGAATCAAGGTTTATTTAGTTGGAATTAATCAAGGGAATCAGTTTATGCATACTTTTAATTTTGGCATGGGTCTTGCACATAATAATTCAGAAACTTCATTCGCATATCCATGGCTGAAGCAACGGGGTGCCGATGAAGTAATCCAGCACATTGGCAGATGAAGCTTTTGATGAAGAGACCTTCAATGACATGTTGCCTTACAAATCAGTTCCTGAACAAACAAAAATGTAATTTATTTTAGGCTACTCAAAGCATTTAAGCGGACGGGTTCTTTGTATTAAAGAAATGGACGATGTTTTCTCCGAACTGCCTGCTTCCGCGGTACTCTAAAGCTGTAATTTTATGACTCAGACAAATGAAAATTTAACCTCAACACCGCGGGGACAGGATCTTCTAGCAATCGGCATGGCCTCAATCGCACGTGTTGACGAAAGACCGACGTAGCATTACTTTATTCCAGGTAAGCTTAACCGTGAAAACGCTAGTCAGTCCTGCTAAAGCTTTTCCAATAGGAATATATTTCTGTTCAAGTAAATATTGTACAAGTACGTCAAAATGCACAAATTCTTCACTTAAGTTACTTTCCTTGGACCTCCGTCTTGCACCAATTTCTCGGACAGCCTTACGCAACCGACTGTATTCCAAATAAAGCCTATCATTGTAAAAACTTTGTTACGCGGAATCTAGAACATGCTGATCTACAATGTTTGGTCCTGTCCGTAGATCACCTTCTCGGATAGTGTCTGCATAGCATTGTTAAGAACATGAAGGTTATGATTGGAAATTTGCATTTAGGGTGGGCGATGTACGATGGAACCGAAACTTGTGAGGTCGTGTGGTCAAGCCTACATAATTAGGAAAAATGCGCTTCTTGAACACATTTGGCCTTTTCCATTACATCGTCACCTACTGTTATATACTATCAATGTTCCAGTTATTTTGTTGATTTGTTTTAACTAGACGGAAATTTGAACTCACGCGCTTTTACTGTTCGTTCCAACTACTGTTAACTGCAAAGAAGGCCGCGCAGGAAAAGCTGCCTTGCTTCTAGCATAAACCCCATTTGTTTTCACTTGGCGGGCTTAAGAGCAGCTGGCTCTGCAGGACACTTTTACAATGAGGGATGAAAGTAGCATAAAGTGGTTTAAACCGCCATTAAGTTGACTTGGCTTTTCCCAACACTGATCATTAAAATTTCATACTGGTTATGACCAACTAGTTCAGCACAACAATTAATGGTGCTCTATGTGTAGAAGTCGATTCAAAGTTAGGCAATACCTTTAAGGTTGCAAACTTTAGTTTGAAGACCCAGTAGATTACTATGGTTTATTAGTAGAGGAGATGTCGCTCTTGGTGGCAAGCTATTTACCTCGCATGACTTTTCTCTGAGTAGGATATTTAGTGGTACAGGTCAACGTCTATGTTGTACTGATATCAAAGCCCACATTAAAACCGAATTAATGTCTCCAGAAACAATGTGTGAATGTTTTGATTTATATTTTTGAAGCAGACTACGCTAAACTGATCAAGTTATTGATAGAAGTTAAATTTCTTTGTAAATTATCAGACCTTTTCGATACTCATTGCTATTTCCACATATTAACTAGCTGAATGCGACTAGATTACGGTTACGACATGCATTTAAATGTATAAAACAACCTCACGTCTTATTAAAACGACTGCTCATTTTGGAAATCAGGCGCTTTAGATGAAAATTTGCCATAGATAAGAGGATCTTGACAGCGCATAATTGGTAATGAATGACAACTAGATGGGTGCCTAGGTTTACTCGTGTATGACGCAGTCCCATCTTCATTGCAGTCGTTCAAATGAAATGAAAGCATGAACTGCGTGAACGGTTGGGTCGATATTGATTATCAGATTATTTGCCTCCCCAATTCTGCCGCGTATTTCCACCTGCATGTAAGATGTTGTTCCGTCATAAATACAATCCCCCACAATTCTTTCCGATGCTTCCATCAAAACTTTCTGTTATACTTTGAACCCGAATGGGGATTTCAATCAAGTGTAATCTTACACAATTCCCCGCCTCTCAAGAATTATTTCTAAGTTAGCTACACATTTTAATTTTCATGCGTGTTTCACAACGCTAGTATTCCACAGGCGTATCTCTGTGTAGGAACAAACTCGGAATGCAATGCTGGAAAAATTCTTAGCCAAATGATTTTTAATTTACTAATAAACAAATATCTTAATGGTACTTCGTAAGAGTATTTTTAATTCACTAGAGAGTGATAAGCAGGAACCATCCACTAAGAATTAGGGATCTCCAATACAGAGCATTGGAACAGAAAATGCTAACCACTTACATCAAAGCATCTACTGCTATTTCCATAGATCAAGTTGTTCATGTTAAAAAACAAATTCAATTAGTGGGCTTCGTAATGTGAAAGTAGGCTCAATATTTTCAGGAAAGTGCCAGAAATTGAATATTCAAGCTCAAAACAAGATTGTCATTGACCAAATATTTGCTAGGCCCCTTTCACGTTGAAGTAAAAAATTACCTAGGATGATGCCCCTCGTGTAAGGTGTTTGCATCATTAATAGATTCATGTGTAGACGACACTGCCACCAGTGTATTTCAACTTAATCGGTACTCTTTTAACCCAATGATTGCTGCGTTTTCTCTGTATAGTTTGCTGGGTCTTGACAGCTCCAGGTTATTTGCACAACTAAACATCTAACTTAAATCCCAGCAACTCATACAAATTTGAATTCACATGAAATATGCTAATTTATTTCTTACTAAAGCTGAGTAAAGCAAAAAATGCAGTCACGCTATCACACACTCGAGTCTCTATGCAGACTCAAATCCATGCCGCCTCACAAATTCCGAAAATAAGAGACATGAACGTGCACACGCACACTGAACAGACGCGACTTGGCATACAAACAGCTTCAATTAACCTGTAATGTAATTCACTAGGTGATCCGACGAGAAAAAAGGCGTTGACGTGGAAGCCAAAAGAAGAATGTGTGCGATCTACACCAATCCCGTGCTTCACCACTCTTATACGCAGTATTAGTCCCATGTAATAGGTCAGTACCAAATCCGACTAAATATCATCCAGAACCTTTACAGACTTCCAGTAGCTGCGAAGAGCAACGAAGTCACACTTGGACAGTCTGGCATATGTTATCTTCACTATTTTTTTCGAAATCTACCGACGCAAACGTTACGGAATACATTTGCTAATGCTAAGTGCCATACTCGATATTATCAATGCATAACGTCATTAAGAAGTCCTATGGTGATTTACCGTAATTTATTTAATTCACACACCCAGGAATAAAAAAGCTACAAATATTGAATAAGCCTGTAGAGGAGATATTTGGACACTTTGATAAAAACAGGAAATGCCATATGCATACTTCTGGTTTGGCAAAATCACATTAGTCCTCAGTGGACCGGTAATTTTGATTTGATTCCTAACAATCAGAATTATTGATAACAAAGATAAATAAATAATAACTGGATCCAGGAGACATCAATCTACGGGGTGCTAACATCCCTAAATATGATGAATATAGGCAGAAATCATGATTGTCATTAGTCCTGTGCATTTTTCTGGTCCCCGAATCTGTAGGCGAATCTACCAGTATCTAATCTTTTAAATGTACATTCAAAAGTGAAAAATGAATATCAAGAAATGATTGGCTCTGAATCGAAAAACAAAAAAAACAAGGTAAGAATGTAGAATTGCATTCTGTTGCAAACTTGTTGTCTACATCATAAGTTCTTAATCTTATGTTAACCTGAGACCCTTCATTCTTTCGGGTTTTATAAAAAAGGTGACCAATATGAAGTTATATATACAATGATGATGATGACGACGGTGACGGTGACGCTATCAAAGGAACTGAAGGTCACTGAGTGAATTTGGAGTTGCTGAAGCGGCACGTCATTGGTCAAGTCTCACTGAAACCCTTTGAGACCTGTCTGCATCTTTGTAACTTAATGCTTATGCTATTCCTGCTGCCGGTACGCCGTGAAGGATATGAGCCTCGATGCCGCCGACGAAGATGGAATAGATTGTGGAGACGACGATGAAGAGAAAGTTGATGAGGTTGATGATTGCGAAGTTGGAGTATCAACTTTATTGTCGCAAAACATCTCCTGAAACTGTTCTGCGTTATAGGCATTAAGAATCTTCGATAGGCGTTTTGGGGGTGTGTGATTTACTTGCTTGAGCAGGCTGTTGAGTAGGTTTAGTTCACGAATCCTTGCGGCCACTGTCGACTGCAAAGTCGAGTTCTCATCTCGGAGAATCGAGAGTCTACAATATATGAATTTAATGCGTATTCGCACAAAGAATGGAGTTCTCATTAACTAAGATCGGGAGCCTTGTCTTCTCAATTTTGCCTAATTAGTGAGCTCCATAAAACCGTCAGCAATGTTTACTTTTCATAGTATTTTGTGCAGCATAAATTTAGGTGCATATTACTCTATTTCAATAAACTAGGTGAGAGAAGATGGTAAATGTGGTAACTTTGAAGGCCATGAATACATAAAATGTTTTTTGCAAGCATGGATAAAATTGTGCACGCAATTCAACATTTTTTTTCATTTATACTACATCAGCACAGACGCTGTTGGAGGACTATAATATAGTATGTAGTTAATAAAATTAAGGAAGCCGCCTGAATATCACTAGTGCAGAATGCAACACTATCCGAGACGCCTTTTATTGTTATCAACACCGACGTCTTCACACAGCCATCACACTCGAAAGCATCACGCACGGCAGCGTCTAACAAGTTCAGCCAAATTGCTGCTGTTTGACCAGACGGTTTTCGTGAATGCAACTCGTAGAAGAAAAAGTAATGAAAACCAGCTTAATATTCACGGAGTGTTAAGTGAAAGAGTTTGCCTTCTTGCAATCTAACTGTAATGAAAATGAACGCACTTTCTATGAGGCTTGTTTGTTAGCAATGCAAATGTTTTTTTTGCAAAAACGCACATCACTGCTCCAATTCGCTGCGAAATTTCGGTTTGGTTCCTCCTTCCAGCCAATAAAAAGACCTCTGCTCCTCGATACTCATCGTGGCCTCAGACTGAAAATTTCTTTGAAAAACACCGGTAAAAACCTGCTGAGTAGTTTAAACTTTGATATGATATGATTTGCGTGTTGTTCACAGTGCTTTGCTTATGCGTTCGAACTCCACCATCAGAAATTTAGTCATGTTTGCTGAAACCTTATTTGTGCTGAATGAAGTTATAACGTTTTATGAAAAGTGCGATTGTTGTTAGTTTTGTTGATAACTCGGAGCTTTTGGTTTTCCACAAAACCCACAATTTTAACAAAAGCTTCTGCTATATTCATTAAATCGTGAAATACATATTAATCGGACATCAGGATGGATTTCAGAAAACTAAGAAAATGCCCTCACAAGAAAACTCACAAGAATAATTGAGACAAGTGTCTCTGGAAATAAAATGATCACACAAAAACCTGAAAACATGTTATACTTGATTGGCAACACACAGGCTGTATCTATGAGATCTTATGATCGGCCAAATTCACTGCCACTTCAAATGTTAATAAGTAAATTGTGGCATACACGACGGGGTTCGAAGTGGCGGTTTTGCTTGTGATGTCTACGGCGCTGATGTCAAAAATGCGAGAGGCAAAGGAATTTCAACATTGCCGAAACCACTACACTTGAACATTCCTCTTAATATTTCCATTTTGGCTTCAATCCTCATTAACAGTTTGAATACATACTAGGGCTCTTTTAGAAAAGCTACCGAATTACCAATCTAGCCAAAATTGACGTGGGGCTATTGACAAGGAATGAAGTGCCGGCTGAGTGAAAATTTTGTCGGTAAAACCAATTTTGTGGTGGCATGCACTTCAAATACAAAACCTTCAAGCTATAAAGTGTAATATGTATGATGAATTGGTAAGTAATTTCAAATTCTACAAAGCGCTCCGTTTGAAAAACTTCCCCTGATGATTTTTTCATTTTAGAAAAAGCCGAGTCTCACATTCGACAACATTTGTAATCAGATTACATGTACTTTTCCTTGACTGTTAGGTAACGATCAACTTTGACATGGAATGCGAAACAAAGCAACTTCGACAGAGTGCTCTTTTGTTCCCCAAGGACTCAGACGAATGTTCTTTAAGCCTGCAGCATTGGTAGTTTAGCAGGATGCCTGTGACAGACGCTGTTTATGGATTCTACTGGGAAAAGTTTTCGACCAAATTAGGCCGGCACTGTTTTCTCAGACCTTCTGGAGTTCATGATGGCAAAAGTAAAGCCATCACTGAATTGTCTAATTGCAAAAAAGTCATGCTAAATTAAAATAAGGCAACGCCTCACTCATTTTTATTCAGTCCAAAAAAATCATTGTACCTTTGTTGGGAAGTGATGTCGTGCATCTCTAACCCTGCACCACCACATTACCTATTAACATTAAAGTTTGCAAAATTGTTTGAATGATACTATTTATACTAATTCTAATTTCCTGAAATTGAACTTGACCCTGTCTATTTGCTGATAAACACTAGAACTTGCATGAGAACTGAATCACAAGGCTCTTACAAAGATGGCAGAAATCATTGGAGAAAAGTCAAATTATGTATTTGATTACAGTCCATTCCATGTATCAGTAGATGGAATTTCATCTCACACCACCCAGAATAAATTACTGTCTTGACAGCTCATTAGTGAATGCCATTAATCCTGTGTCGCGCTAACATTACTCGATGAGAAAGTCTTGACTACTTGAGTAAACGCCTAAGTAAAGTTATGCATTTTCTCGGGTGCTTGTGTAGAGGCAAAGAGTGAGCATGCTGATTTGATACGAGTCTCCAAAAACACATCTCAACAAATGAAAATAGAAAGATCCCACTCATCCTAGCTACCATTCTCACCGCCGCCAACAGTTCTGCATCGTGGTTCAGAGGGCTGAAGGCAACAAATGGATTTTCTTATCTAAGTCATAAATGCAAATCTGCTCAATGAAACAAGTACCTTATGCACAGCATCTTCAATGTATAACAGTTCAAAGCCTCAAATTGTGCTGGTCGGATTTTGAAAAATTGACAGGAACATATGTCGTTGCCCGAGTGGAAAATTATTCACCACAAATTACACTGGTGCTTTTAATTTTAAGAGATGTTTGAATTTTTAAAGTTCTGAGCATCTAATAGTTTTCTGTGATATATCCGTTTATTGTGCGAGCATAAACCTTGTCTGTGCATTGATAGTATTTGACTGTCAGATTCCTTGCTAGTCATTCGAATGAACATCCTTGCACCTCGACCAAATAAAACCTTTCCTCATTTATTGACACATTGTAGTCTACTTACAGTTTCCACTTACTATATATCAAGGGGTTTGAAATTAAGGAACTCTGCCTGATTTCCACTTTGTAAAAATTTTAGAATTTACGCAATCATCCTTACCCAGAAGATCGCACCCAATTGATACTGTGAGCAAAGCATATTAGTTAATATTCAAAATCTTCATATCAATTTAGCATAGCTCAAGGTGAATCCTTAGCCTTAATATAGTTATTTTCCAAAATTATTCAACTTTTAAAACTATGGCTTTTTCGAGCAGCAACAGCCTATCACAAAAATAAGACCATGTGATGATGTTAATTACGCGACACTTCCCATAAAGAATCCCCAAATCAACAATATGCTATTCAAAAACTAAATCGACTATTAAAGTAATAAGCAAGGTGCAAGTTCTTGTACAAACCGTGGTATTAAAAATAATTGTTCAAATTCATGCGATTCCCCAAGTCACGTAAAAAAATAAACGTAGTAAATCCAATGCCAATTTCATATGTCGCATTTTTTTAAACCGCCACCCCCGCATCTACGATTATTTAGCCTAATTTTAGATTCCAAACCGGAAAACGGTGCAGAGATTGGGAGCGAGATAAGGCGCCGTGGACTGGAGTTAAATCTCAAGAGCACCGCGTACCCGCTCCCCACGCGCACACACACACACTCCTAGGACGCCGTCGACACTCACGGTGTCTCAAGCCAGGTCTAAGCACAAAACGCTAACACTGCCAAAATGTGTTAAGAACTCTTTAACGAATGCGGCTAGAAAAGTAATCCAGTCTGTTGCGCTCAGAGACCGGAGGCAAAAATTAGATATACTTACGTCTTGATAACTTCATTCTGCTTGGCTCGCTGTTTCTCACGTGACTTTCTAACGGCGATATTGTTACGCTTTCGAAGAGCTATGTACTTCTCCTCCTCCATGTGGAGAGCGCTAGTGGGCTTGCCTCGCGTCGGTTTGGCGCCACTGCTGAGGGTGGGTTCTAGTTTAATGACTCCTGCGGTCGTCGTCTGCTGTAGCGCGTAGCCGTTATTCGACATAACGATCAGGTGTGAGAAGCGCGATATGTTTACGTGTCGTGCAGCTGTTAAAACCTTTAAGCCATGTGAGCAGCCTGACTGGTTGGCACATCAATTGGTTCTTCGTGCCACGAAGAACCAATGAGAGGAGCAAGACACCTACTGTGTAGGAGGGGACCTAATGCCAGGTTTCAACCTGTATGTGAACACGGGTGCACAAAGACCGTTGTCGGTGTTTGCAGGCCCAAAAGTCGACTTTAAACACGCAATATTTGTGTTTATAACAAGGTTAATCAAAAATAAATTTAGCCAATTTTGCAACCAGGTTACAAGCACGTTATATTTGATTTTGAACTTACGCTTTCAATAATATGGTAATCCCCAATAAGTACAGATTAAAACCGATTATTAGCAAATCCACTATGCGTCTAAACTAAATGCCCCCCTAACGTTTGAGTTCCAGATCATAATAATGATGTCTACTTGCTAATTAATTCCCTATCTCGTCTCACAACTGTTCAGTGAATAATGAGTGGGCGTTTAAAAAATGCCTCCATCTGACAATCACTCGCACTATCGGTTTTCGTGTCTGTGCTCACCCTTGTTCTTCTCAATCTCTGATTACTACACCCAGTGATTTGGCAGTTTGTCACTTTAACCCAGGTCTGTGTTCAATCTTCCCCATACCTCCATACTGACAGAACCAAACCCCTATAATTTTGAAAAATACATATAAATGGAACGAAATTTTAAAAATGATGTGTCTGAAAAATAAATGATGTTTATGTTCGGAACATTTTTTCTTAGTGTGGAGAAAATTCTGTTCCACTTTTCTAATTGTTCAAAGCAATAATGACGCAATCCGGCGGCATCTAGTCGACTCTTTAAATTCATAACCAACGTCAGACAGGTAAGTTTACCAAATCGATGCCAGCTTAAGTCAAAACATCTCCCCAGAATGTGCCTCCTTTTTTGACATCTGAGGTCAAAAGCTCAGCAGTTGGATTTCCCTTGCACATCAAACATCATTCACATGTTCATCTTAGGTGTATTGGGTAATTGTAAATCACTTAATAGTCTGTCGAGGGGTAGAATGTCAACTGAAACACGCACATCCTGTGTATGTGGGGTGAGCAGTTGACCTAGGGGCACCTAGCGTAAAAAGGTATGAAGCAGAGTGAGATAGCGCGCGGCCACAGCCATCACCTTTTCCTTTATAGACTGAGGAAAATCTCTTTTGCCCCGTGAACTCGTCTACCAAATCATGCGGGAGTGGTGGGGTGCTGAATTCCAGGAAAACGGTTGGTGAAATTTGGAGCTGGTGCTTGATTTGAGGTTTAATACAACAGTGTGCAAATTTAACACTGAAAATGCGCGGTGTATGCTAAATTTTATTTTATTTATAGCGCTGTTCAGTAAAGGAGCCTTCTGTGTAGGGTTGACTTTTTAATGACTATAAGTGCGTTTTTAGAACATGTTAAGCATAGGACAAGAAAATTTGCTTTTCTTCTTTACATAAGCCCAAAGCTAAACTAACCCGAAGAACGCCTATCGATTCAACAGCCATTTTTTGTCATTTTCTTACCAAAACAAGTATGGAACTCAGGAATATAATAATATGGGATTAAAAAATTGCAATGGTTCAAGCTGTCCATCATATCTGGATTTGCATTGTAATTATGAGGGCACCATTCACCTACTGTTTCCTTAGTAATCATGCGGTGCTGGACAGTTGACCAATCATTACTGACGCTTACAGACGTCTCCAAGGGGCTACAGATTATCATTTATTGCTTAGGCGTAGCATACAAGTTTAACTGAAGGAGGAGAGCTTTGGTGGTTCGTTGGAATTGTGCGTTGTACGGTACGATGAATGTCAGTTTTTGGGCTGACAGTGGAAGGGTAAATTGTTAAAGCAATCCAAATGCAAACTGCCGTTCGTCTGTAGAGCGATGATTTGAGTTATAGCAGTGGTCGGACAGTTGATCTCTAGGTCAATCAAGTACCCAATCAAGTGTCAGTAATTTAAGTTAAAAAGGCGCGAGTTTTTGCGTGCATTACGGCACCGCTGCTCCTGTTATAACTCAACGGTACTCACTTTCACAAAACGAGGCCTACTCTCCACATTTTTGGTGTGGCCAATGCGTTTTGTGATTTTAATTTTAAGAAGGTGATTAAGTCAGTTACCGCTGTTTTTCATAAATGGTTTGATGATGGTGAATTGCACTTCAGAGGAGGTAGAAACCAACGCAACCAAAGCTAATAAAGCTCAAACCATAAGTAAGTCTGTGAACCCAATTGATTTATTTTAGAACACGTTCAGCCATGTGTATATCCTTTTCAGGTACTAAATTTAATATTCGTAGGTGAAATTGGATTGGAAATTGAATGGTATGTGCACAAGAAAATTCTACCCCAAGATCCTACCTAAGCTTACAACGATCTGGACTAAGAAACGACAGCCGGCTGCAATAGAGTTTGTTTCGCTGCAACTATCATCAGCTTCCGGATTTCAGGGGTTGAATTCCTGTCTACAAGTGGGTGACGGAACCCACCAGCGAGAGAACAAGAGGAACAAAGTAGTTACCCAAGTGAATCACATATTTTGTCTCAGATCCCAAAAAAATCCTCTTGGGAATAAATTGTGACAATTAGGAACGCTTTCTAATTAACTCTTAGATGCACTTGTCAAGGCAGAACAGATCGGGGATTGGAATTAATCTGGACATGCGTTGCAAACAAGATTACTGAACATGGCTGCATGGAATATTTTTCAGCTAGAGTTTGTAGTTTCACAAGTTTGTGCGTTCATTGTATTTGAACTATACGACAAACCATGGTGTAAAGCCTTCTTTCAAGTACACAGCAGTAAGGATCTTCTGATGGAATCTGAAGTTCGAAAACTATCTGCTTCGGTCGAAATCCCATCGATCTAGGATGGGCTTTGACAACGCCGCGAATATGAATCCCCTCTGTGTTAATAAATTGGAAGTAAAGGCCACAAGCTTTATTCATTTTTGATTACTCACTGAGAGAATCTGAGTTGTTTTTGTTTTAATAAAACAGAGAGACTGGATATTCCGATCGATCTCCCGATAAAACTCCGCCACAGTCTATTAAGAAACGTGAGTCAGGCAAAATAGTTGCTCAAGTCTGATATTTATAAAGTGCTGCCATACAATGATGAGTCCTATTAGTTTATACCAGCTCAGTGTCAAGTCGTTAGCCCAGCTAAACACATAAGTCGATATTTAACTATCGTTTTTACAATTACAGTGAACTTAAGTTATCTACTCGAAATATATTGCAGTAGTTATCAGCCAGGTAGTTACAACGTGAACTCATACTCTAGCCCCAATGAAATTGCTTTGCTCAAGGTCAGAGATCAGGTTTTAGTAAACCAAGATCTATGCCATTCTGTGGGACATGTGCATGCTTTTTCTAGTGAAACTAACGTTACCTGTTGGCAAAGTTACCCGTAGTTTTAAATTTAATAACACGATTTCACTCCCAACTGACTCCAATTTCAAAAACAGTTGTTATCTTCCCATCTTGACCTTGATTAGAAAACGAGAGCAATTGAAGGATTTGACTCGACACGAAACAAGAAGCACCGTTAAGTAGCCTCAAAGCGTCAAAACAATTAGAATTAATCATTTACTGCAGATAGCATGGCACACCTATTCGCCGATTCGCTGTCTACAGCCCTGGAGGCATTAGGTTGTGAATGGCATTGCCAAAGCTAATAGAGTGCTTGCCTCTGCCAAGGCGGCTGGCATGTTTAATTCTTGACTTAGGCCTGAATAAAATTTTCATCGGTATTTAGCCGCCTGTCCATGTGTGCCAAGTTTCACTTGCACCACCCTTATCTTTATCTAAATTTTGCTAGCTGTCTTCAAACGCAAATCGGCATCAGCTTGCACCATTCGCTGTTTCATCACTGGAGAACTGGAAAGCCATTAAAGCAAACGGAATACATCGGCCCTCCTTTTACCTCACTGATGTTGGCAGTCGTACGTACGTTGAGAGGAATAATGAGGCCATTCTGTTGAGAATAATTACGGTGGCACAAAAGTTGGGCGTGGTGACGTTCACTTTAAAGAAATCACATTTTGGTAATGCACAGTACAATTTTTTGATCGAAAATACTGACAGCGAAGGCAAAAGTTCCATACGATTCCTTTCGCCTACCATAATTTACTTTTGGTATTAAGAATACTCTGCCGACTTAATTGTCGATTGTAAGGCAAGCCTATTGGCAGTTGACGAAGACCTTTCATGAGCTTAAATTTGATCCTAAGGTGAGGTTTTGAAAGTCAATAAAACTAAATTCAAAAAGTTAAAAAACGTTTTAAAAGAAATGTGCTACCAGGGCTCTTAAACAATCCAGCACCACTGTCCAATTTTCAGACTTCACCTCCACACTTCTAGCACGGACTCATGCTTTGCAACTTTAACTTACTAAAAATAGCTATATTTTTATCCTAAATCGCTTGGATAAAATCCTTTAGAGTAACTGCCTATGACTCTAGAAGACAGTTTACAATTCCTCTTTGACTAGAAAAATGTGAGTGATAATGGATTTTGGGATCTTTTTTTTTCACGCGACCACCACTCCGGCTTCCTATGTGACCTTTGTTCTCGACTTAACTCCAGGACGAGAGACCAGCTGGTTCAACCACCCTCTAATACACTGACCTCTAACATCTTAGGCCGGTGGCATGTTATCTGTCATCGCTCGTCATTTCAGCTGTTTGATTTTATCGGTCACTTTTCAATCATTTACTCATGACATCCAGATCGAGAATTACTTGATCGTATTTCCAAAGGGGAGGCAACTCAACAAAAGTTTAACGAGAACAGTCAAACTTTGAAACTATGCAATCGTTCAATTATTTAGTATGACAGATTTCTAAATAGTTTTAATTCCATCAATTGACTCCTACAAACCTGACCAGCAAATTTTAAGAGCAATCAATATAGTAAAATAGCTTATTCTAAAATCATGGAAGGCAAAATTCTGGGTAACATGAGTAAAGCAGTACAAATTGAGCGCAACTTTGTATCAGCGTTTAGGGTCCGCTAGCTTCAAAACTAGGGTGGAAAGTTAGTTTGTAACTCGAAGACTGTAAACTGTGGATCACAATTTCTTTATAATTCGAGGAGGTAACTTTGGAGTCTCCAGCTCTCCATCACATTGAGTTCTCCTATCAAATTTATCTATTATTGCATTAACTGGTTGTAGGTTTTTGGCCGATCGAACAAAATTCATGTGCGAGAGTTCAATATTTGCCATACTTCAAATCTCCAAGGTCATTGTGAGGTGAGGTATGCAACGAAATTTCCCTTTTTACTTAGGAATTGAAAATGATGGACCTAAAAACTCCCTTAGTTTTTTATTTCCCAAGGCGTTCTCATTAGTCTTCCAAACATTAAGAAATTTCATCTTTACATTTCCGACCAGCCACTTATGCAGCAAGAGTATAAATCACTTCAAGATTGTAAGATGACCAGCCATATTGCAATCATCGAGAGTAAAATGATCACAGACACTCACTACGTTTAAAGAAATGTTTTATAAATCAATTAAATCAGGAGACATGATTTAATTTGTTTAATAGAGAGAGCGTGGCACTTATGTGAACGAGAACTGTAGTGCTTGATGCACTTTAATTCCTACATCAACTTTTGGTCCAGGTAAGCGTCATTGATTGAAGAAAAATGGATGAAAGTGAAAATATAACGCAGACCTAATTATAAATTAGACACTGACACACAAAACGTACAAGGAATTATTTGTTTTAAATTTTTCTTATTTACGATTTCACTTCTCAGAATCACACGTAATTTAATAGTAAGGTTAACAATGTGGTTTAGGCAAACGTTAGAAAATTCTTACGGTTTTCTTTATTAAGCCCAATCACGAAAAATTCAATCATAGTATCTTTATGAAATGTATACTAATATAAGAGAATTTCAAGTACAAATGGACAATTATTTTAGTAATTTGTATATGCAGACACCAAATTGTATAGACTAACAAAAGTATTTAGTTCAAAGAGGCCCTTTAATGCACAGGAAAAAATAGATAGAAAAAGAATGGATTTATATTTAGTGAATTAAAATAATGCAGGAAGGAATAAAACCCATTCAAAACTAGTATTTTCTTTATTTGTAAGAGTGTAAATTTTGAAAAAAACCGTGTCTAAGAGTTACATGGCGTCTAAAATTATATTCCTTTTATGGACAATGAAATTGAACATTTTCGTACATATCCCGGCATTAATATCAAAGAAAGGACATTATATTAGATTAAGTATGTCTGGTTATGCTTTGTTTGTGTCAAATTTTTCAAAATCTGGAAGACGCAGGCCAAAAAGTTGAACAAGTATAAAACAGAGTGAAAATAAAATAAAGTTCGAAATTTTACAATCAAGAAAGATTTAGATTAATACCGCCAAAAAACAAAGGAAAACAATTGTCTATGGAAGTTCACGAAATGAGCTAACTAATTTTTTTAGTACAGTAGATAAAAAACCTTAATTTGATATAGGGTTATCTGGGTAAACTAAGGAAAAAAAGCCGCTATATTTAAGTGGATTAAATTGTAATCAAAGTATCTCTAAAATAGGATTATGAGCAGCGATTCGCTATTTGCAATAAAAAACCTGATAAGGTTCAAAGAAACTGTTGCCCACAATGAATGCAAAATATTAATTGCGATAAATGTAGCCAAGCGAACTCATGTGTTGATTAAATATTAATGTTTTATATGTGCTTTTTGTGTCGCATCAAACCTAGACTTATTAACATATTAAAAAATATAAACTACAGGTTAGCTAAATAAATCATTTAATTTTCAGGAAAATGTTTGTTTAAATTTATTAATTTTGTAACAATTTTTGTTCCTGTAACTTATGCACATTCAAAATAACAGGACTGTGTGAGGTGAGGTCGTGACTCGCGAGATGTTTTGTAGCTGTCTGATGTCTATTCATGCGCTGATTTAGGGATTTTATTATATTTTGTTTTTAAAAACATAGTTACCAATTTTTCTTTGCAACACACGTCTGCAAGCTACCTACATAAGGTGATCCTTAAGATCAAATAGCCACTTTAAGCGCAAGATAGAGATTTGTTCATTTCATTTATCTTATTAAAATGACGATTTTGGTTGATAAAGTAAATTTTAAATTTTTAGGTTAGGTTCATTTGGTTTGTTCAATTGTCTTAAGTAGATTTTAAACATCAACTTTTCGTGTAATGTGTTTCCTAAGGTCTCAATTTCGGCAGAGTAGTTATTTTGCGCATCAGTAGCAACATATTCAAATGTTTCATCTTTAAATCTTCCAGGTCTAATCTCGGTCCGATTATTATTAGTAGTTCGAGGTCACTTCCGTTGCCCCCTACGTTTGCTTGAACCATTTCTCACGACGGATTTCCCAACCTCAATGTCCGATATGATAAGGGGACGCTCCTCAACATGGAGCGGTGGAGCCCCTTTAACAAACGGTGATCCTGAAGCCTCGAGGACCTTTGAATATGGTGACGCATCTCTGACTTTGCACAGTACCAATGCTTCGGCAAATAATGCGGCCACGTCACTTGATCAGGGAACTGGTAATAGTGGCAGTGGGACTGCCGCAAACTATCACTGCTCACCTGTCACGAGTTCCCACACAGCAGCAGAACTCAGTTCTCAGGAATTCCAAACAAATCGCCGGCTTCTTGTGGAAAAAACACCGGAGTCAACCAATTCTGATTACAACCAAAACTATTTTACTAACACGGCTTCTTCACCATCACGAAATTCAAGGGAATGGAATACCGGTAGTGGTGGTGCAGGAGGGTTTCAGTCATCAAACTTTTCAGCCCTTTCTGTTGCAGCCTCGTCCCCATTTTCTCACCAACCGGAAGGCGGTAGTGCTGGTTTACTAACTCCTTGTGGGGGTTATGGCGGCTCCTCTCCCTATACCAACGGTTCATGTTGTCCGGAGTCAAAGATTACCTGCCAACAACCGGGCCTACACTCAGGATCACCAAGTTCCGTTGGAAGTCAACTTTCAGTTGCACAGCCAAATATTATAAATGCTTCTGGGGCTATCAGTGCTAACTCGGTTGGATCAACAACGGCTGGATCAACATCGGCTCCAAATTCTGCCAAGCGGCCCGCTCGTAGAAATCCTTGGGGCTCAGAAACATATTCAGATCTGATCGCCAAAGCCATAGAGTCGTACCCGGAGAAACAGGCGACGCTACAGCAAATCTACGATTACATCTCTACGAATTACACGTATTTCAGAGAAAGGAGTGATCCCCCTGCTTCTGCTGGGTGGAAGGTAATTAAAAACTTACTTACTCAGGTTAAGATCTGTTGTTCTGGTTCCTCTGGCATCAGGTTCAGTTACCCAGAATAATGGGACATGTTTTGCTTAGGATCAGAAGTTTGTTGTGTGGATTCCACTTTTTCCATTAGTTTCTTTCGAATCTGGCATATCATTGTGTTCAGACTTTGTGCCACACCGGAATTGTGTCCATTGAACGAACTTGCAACGATTTGCCTCTCTTTTACGGGTTTATTGATGGCCTAGCAATAAATTTTGGGTTTACAAACCTGCAATACCACTGTCTAGATGAGTCTAATTCAGGACATTACAATGATATATATTCACCATTATATTAGCACTCGGCTTTATCCACGTCTCAGTTCTAGATTGAGATGCAGCTGTTTTAGTAATACCTATTCACCTTCAGATCTGTTTCAGTTACTTTTAAGTATTTTTTAGTACGTGCCTAGCATCGGCTGTCATTTTTATCTTGGAAGATCTCTTTTCATCTTGACGCTCCAAAGGTTTCATTTTTCATTTAACGACAACGTTCTTGCTGCTTAGTGGTGGATACAACAAACTTAAGATTTACTCAATTTGTCGCAGGCTCACATATTTTCTGGTTATTTGTTTTTTCGTTTCTGGAAATTTCGACTAACATGGCTCTAAGAATTCACCTTACCCCATATTTTCAACCAGTGCATAGGCGATCTTTCGGCAGTCAGCGGTCTGAATCAAAGTTTGCAAATTTTGTTTTTTCCACTGTTTTTTTCTGAATGGTACGTGGTGGTTCTTAAATCAAATGCTTAAACTCTTCGTATCATAGTGACGTGGTAATTGCCAAACCTAATATGGGCCTCATATGCAACTCTTCCAATATTAGGGCCATGGCATTCGACGCTTCAGTCAAATATTGACAAATAGTGCAAAATCATCGGAATCCTATCTTCCTTCCACCTGCACCTGATAAGTGTTTCTCGGGGCATTTATCACTTGCTCACCTGAAGTGAACGCCCTGAGTCTTCAATGCTGCGAAGTTATGCCTTAAGTTGCATCTCTTAAAATTTCGTGAACAGTGTATTACTTTAGTGCAAATGTGAAAAAGAAACCTAGCAAAATCGTTAAGGCAAAATCGGTGTCAACCTTTCGTGTAATGGAAGAAAGAGACCACACCATTCTCTTTGTCTCAAGAGGAATGTATGCATTCACGCGTGCTTCCGAACATTTGAAGGTCACGGAGGACTTGTGCGTTCTGTGTGCGCTTTTTCAGCGTCTTCCTCTAGTCAAGGTCAGGCAGTGCTTGATCTGTGTGATCCGCGCAAAATGTGAAATCGCCTAATTAGTGCGCGTGACGCCATCCTTGACCCTATTGCCCGGTTCACAAACATGTCCTTACTAGTCACCTGCTGCCAACTTGATCGAGCAATCCCTTCGCTAAACTTGCTTCGAAATTGTTTACATTCGAACTGTCAAAACAATGGACTGTAGTTAATGCGTTTGCATTATTCAACTTCTCCAGTAACCTCATGAAAGCATCGTTAGATATGGCATTTAGGCACCACTTTCTAGTGCTTGGCCTGATTACACCAAATGGGTTGTTTGTTCATCGTTTTCGAGCTGCATTTTCTTCGGTTTAATCAAAGCTCGTTGCATTTTCTTTTCAAGGTGTTATAATCATTAGAGTCGATGAAAGGTTTTAGCCTCAGTAGCTTTCGTGCCCAACCCATGTCAAAAATTATTCCTGTTTACATGAACATCGCCTTTGCGAAACTCACTTTAAATTTTCTGGCTTACGCTGAAATAGTTATTTGTGATCTAAAAAACGCTAATCTAACTTGCTTGGGGGTGTTTGGCACGATACCACAAAGCCCACATTGTTTGAATTTATTGGTAATTAGATTTTATTAAAAATATTAGTGCGCACATCAATTAAAGGTATTATCTGAGGTGCTAGATTTAGTGCAGAAAGTATCTTTTAGAGTTAAGCTAAAAGCCCGATCTCCACCAACACCAAATGAAGAGTCTGTCATGGTTTCTTGCTCTCAATATGTCAGCACCACCGAAGTTATCCACCACCTTAGTTAGTGTTTCTGTTGCAAAATCGCCAGCCCCTAATGTTTTCGCATGTGTTCGTGAGTGGCAACCTAACCCTAGCTCTCATCTACTTGGGCTTGCAAGATATCCCCAGAGTACTACCAAACTTCTTCCCTCTAACGTTTGATGCATAATTGGGAGTGACGATTCGAGGTGAGAGGCCATAAGGGTATCAAAAACTCATCTAGCTGGTGTTGATATTCAAGCTCCTCGGGTCATGTGAGTCCACTAGAATACTCCGGAACTCATCAGACCCCGCGCCTCGTTCGCACCTAGTTATAATCGCGCTACCCCAATTTCTGTACGTGCGTGTCATAGCTGTTGTGACCTTCATTAGGCCAATGAGAAATCGCGTGTTTCGGCGTGACGCAACGAAAAGTGCGCTACTGTCGTAGCGCAGTTCGCAGGCGCACGTAAGGGATGCGCTCTTCACGCGACTTCCGGTGGGATCCATTTTACGCCTCACTGGCCAGTGTTCCGTATGTAATAAACGCGGTAATCTTAAGGATGTCCTCAAGTCAAAACTTTCAATTCGCCGCAAATGCCCCAGTTAACCAGGTGATCTCAAAATTCTAGACCTATCTAATTTGCATCTGAGACTGCGGTAATGATCTCATGCACAGAAGGCATTGTCTTTGTGCGCCTCCGAAACACAAAGCTTCCCCCTTGGAATATTTTGTTTGCCCAATCATCTCTATTGATTCAAAATCCGCCCAGTCTGTTGCTACTCTAACGTTTGATGCTGCTTGGTTGGTGAGGCTTGTTCATGGAAACCTTGTTTTCACAATCCCATGGGGGATTTTGAGCCATGGACCTCGTGCGTCAGTACACTTTTTCATCTGTCTTTCTGAAAAATTGATTGGCTTCTCGGCGGACTGCTGATTGGTTCACTTCTTGTAAAAGACTACACCTTTCGTCTGGTCTAACTGTCAATTTTGATTGTTTTGAAGGCCGACCCACGTCTGAACTGCAAAACAATATACCCTTAAGTAAATAACCGACACTTGGTGCTGTGCAGTGACACCTTTGTTATAGCACTACCTGTATTCCATATTTGCTATCAGGGTCCTAGTGCCTCTGTCAATGCTTCAATCAACAATTTGCAAACTTGCGATTTACTTAGTAGGCAAGGGCCAGCAGGCTTGATTTTTAATATACTTTTCGTAAGTGTGCCAAGACACCAGCATGAATTCTTCCTGCAAGTCAAAATCTGATGTCCTGACTAACGCACCATGTAGCTTCATTTTTTGTACTATTCACGTGAAACTTAAAGCACACTGTCACTCCCTTCACAGCATACTTTATGCGTTCTTTTTTCCACTTGATGCACGCGTACTGCTTTGGCATCGCCTGGTGCTGGATCATAATGTCACGTCGTTTAGAATATTGATCCTGTCTGTCCACCAGAGTTCTCCTGCGAGATCGCTTTCTGAAGTGTCCGTACATGGGGTCTTTCTTCTTCATTGAGGGTTCACAAATGCTTCCTTCGGCGTATGCGAGAACATTAGTAGGGGTGAATTTGGATTGCTCTAGAACTTAAGCCTCGCCAACGTTCCGGATTACCCTGTGTAAAAACTATGGTCAATTAGCTGCGCTACGGAAAAAGTTAACGCCTATTTCATTATTCAAAGCCAGACACGCAGGTCTAAAAGCTTCTGTGAGTATGTGCACGTCGACGATACCTCAATTTTACTAGACTTGTAAAGTACCATCTCGTATCACGTCATGCTCGAAGTCGATTGGTCCATTCTTGTTATTGCGAGGAAACTTTCCGGTGTGGAGAAGTAATTTTTCAAGCCCTAATTTGCATCAGCATTCTAGTGCGCGATTGTATATCCCGAAATCCAGCTGTGTTCCTTTAGAAGTTGTGGTGTAAGCAAGGTGGATGTCTTAGTAAAGGGTAAGGAGTGTATGGAACCGCTGCCGATTGGACCATTTTGTCTTTGCAACCGGGATCGTGATTTGCAACTCTATGCATTAAAGGAAACACTGCCGAGCGAATGCCTGATTTCTTGCCAAAATTACGCATTTGACGGCGAGGGAAAACCCTGTTTCACGATCATTACAACTCCTGTTTTGATGTCGCCTGGCGTTGTTGGCGCTGGCATGTTTTTGCCTTCGGCACGGTGTTTTGTGTCACTCATTTTAGCTGCAGCACCTCTTCAACTTAGCACCCTCCATACGATATCGTGTGAAGTCGTGCTAGACTGTAAAACGCTGGACGCCATTTATTATGTGTTCTTCAAACCGTAATTCAACTCCTTTTTTTCAAAGCGACAGTTCCAACAATGTGGGTATGATAATTACGTAGGATGGCGGTTGCAGATGTTCTGCTGCGCCACGGGTGGCCCTGGATCAAGGCTACAAAATAGGTAGTGAAAGGTTTGAGAGGTCTTTAAGGGAGCCAGTGATAAAAGTGCAATGGTGGTTGCCGGTTTCACAATGGATAACCAGAAAATTATGCCTATTCACCAACAAAAAACTCCACAATAGGAAGAAAGATCAGGGTGAACGTAAAATTGCACGTAGGTATATAATTATTAGGTGAATTTCGAAGTTTCTTAGAAGTCTGTAGTGTCAAGGTAAGCTGGTAAATCGTTCAACATGATGTTTAAATTTTTCCCTTTGCCAGCTGCCAAGGAATCTATGCCAAGTTCCATAACTCGTTTTCATAACTCGATGAGTTCTGTATTTACGAAGTAAAGGAATCAGATATGTAAGTAGCTGAAGTACACTTGGGACTTTTCAAGAGAAACGGAAGGTGCCATGATTATTTCGACTGAGAATTTGTGTCTGAGTCCGCTAACTGAATACCAAGCAGATATTGGGAATTCAGCGAAGTAGGAGTACCTGCAAGGATGGTCGGCGCTTGTCTTATTTTGCTCTAGCCATGGTAAAATAAAAAAACACGCTACGTAAACGCTTTGATGAAATTTTTTTATCCGTTTAAGCGAGAAGCACGCACTCCGTTAAAATACATTTGGGGTGGTCATACCAGGAAGTTGAACTGAAAATGATGTTAGGGCAACGGGAACTCGACTACCAGGTATGCATCAAACCAGATTTATTTACGGGGTTATATTCAGCACGGCAAATATTCTCGTAGCCAGTTTTCCTCCGATGCACTGGCCACTTTGATGACTATTGCCTGAGGGAAGAGGAAGTTAGTGACGTCATAGTCGTCCGCTGTGAGTGGACGCTTGTAGCACAGACGGGCTTATCTGTTCTAATATCCTCGGTATATGTTCAGGTTCGCATATCTGTCTTTATAAAGCCGCCATGGGAGTTTGAAGTGTAGTCCAAAAACGCGAACTAATGGTTTTTTTACAAATTAACACACTGGCCCTTCCGTAATGAAGAGACTGAGCTTTCGGACAAGGTTGTACATCGTCGCAGTGCTGCTGCTGAGTCGTGTGCGCACGCACATTCCGCGATGTCCTTGTCCAAAAATTAGTTTATTTGTGCGTTGCGCACGTGTAGGCGCGTGTTCATGCCGCACTTATCCGCGTGCGCGCGTGTGTGTAGTCAAAACAATTCACCCACCCCACCACCCCCCTCCTCCCCGAGTGCGCGTGGACACGTTCGCGTCTGACACCCACACGCACGCAGCGATTGTTGGCCCTCTCTCTCCCCACGTCGCGTCTCGTCGCTTCGCCCAATTTGTTCCGTCAAGCGCGTAAACACGTGCTTACAACCCTGTTGCTTGGACAAGGAGACGCCTTTGAGCCTAATTCTGCCGGTTTTCATACATAATTGAGGTGTCTTGCTCTTTCGCTCTTCGTCCCGTGGACACCAGACGAAGAAAAGTTCTTTTAAAATTCCCTAATGAGCAGGGAGGGCTCTTACAGTTTTGATCATTAATCTCATAATTCCACTTAATATTCTCAAGGGACAGAACCGAACTCGTCTCTTGTGGCCCTTAATGGAACAGGTTCAGTCTTGTCCAGAAAAGCAGGTTTTGCTATTTCAGGCACATTAACTAAACTGTATTTCTTAGTTCTGCCGCGTGTTCTAGTGCCTAAAGACCGAGCATTTAACATTCTCATTACTTGTGACGCTGAGGCCTGTGAAGTTAGCTTCAAAATTCTACCAGGATACAATTACTGAAGCAGTTAATGGCTCATTAACCACGTACGTTAGCAATTAACTCCTCCTGCTGTCTCGGTTCACCTATCCAGCGTTCGGTTAGGTAGCCACAGTTTTTAAAAGTCGTTTCTTGTCGCCGCGGCTCTTGTCTGGCGTGATGATGCGGTGTCTCAACTTTTGACAAGCTGATGCGCGCGCTTTTGGCCACGTGATCAGCCATTGTTTTGGCATTACAGTGCACTTTCCAACGCGAGCGCGCGCAGACAGGCGAGCCAAAAAACACCTCAAGGCCTGTCGGCTGCCTCGACGGCGCTCGAGCCCAGACTGCCATCGGTCGAGGGTTGGATTCGTCACTGGGATTTCACCAGATAGCTGGTACACAACTGACCCACCTAGCCTGAACACCAAATTGTTTCGTATTGGTTCCGAAACTAACAAAATCGATATGCATCATCTGAATACCCTCGAATTTCCACTACGGTTCATTAGGTTTTCACTTAACGGTTTTTGTCTCAGAAAGCTATTTCTGTGTTTTGACTAACGCTGGATTTATCGGGATCTTTTCCTTTTTCAAGAACTCCATCCGACACAACCTTTCGCTCCACGACAAGTTCGTCAAGTGTCCCAAAGCCTCAGAGAGTTCCAAGTCTTCATACTGGCGCCTGAACGCGAACTCACTGAACCGTCCCTATGTGCGTCGACGGACCTGCTCCCTCGATGCTCCCGGCAGTGCTGGCAGCGTCTCGGGCAAGAAGACCAAGTCGCGTCTCGGAGCTGGTGGTCCCTCGTCGGCCGCGAAACGCGCAGCCCAAATGGCAACTGCTGGAGGCTCCGGTGTAAGAGGCGACACGAAGACCGGTGCCTACGGCGGGGACGATATTCTGGGCAGTCTGCCAGGCCGATCTGCACGATCTCACCTTGGTAGCCTTCCTTCTGGCATTGCGAGTGCGTTTAGCATACCTGGGGGCGACGGAGGAGGTGTGTTGGGGATTAAACAGGAACCCACCAACAATGTGAATCCATGGAGCGGCTCAAATTCAGGATTCCTCACAGATCGGAAACCCACTTCTGAGGAATTGAGTGCGCTATGGTGGGTTTTTGCAATAAAATCGCCCGTTGAATTTGCAGTAACTTGTAGGCGCATCAAAATGCCTTTGTATGTTCAGGTTCGAAATGTTCAGTGTTTCATTTGAAATGTCTTATCGAGATTCTTCTGCATTTGTTCACATTTTGGAGAACACTAGATGCATCAGCGACAATTGTGTAGTGCTAATTCTGGTAATTCACACGTTCGGTGGTGCGCTGCCTCTCAATGTGCCGTTCTGATGTGTTCCTTGTCTAATGGTCTGGTGTCTTCCCAGCCTGCTAAAATTTCACCATGCAGACGAATAAGTGTTTAGGACGTCTTTTTGATCCCTTGTCACCCTCGGTATTGCATAACCAGGGACATAAATTCAGCCACCGATTGTAAAAATCCTTCGCGCGCCAAGGTCTGAATTGCCAGATTGTCGACGCACAGCCATTTATGCAACAGCGATGAGGACGCCTTACCAGAACCTCGACCCTCATTTCCTGACAATTTTCATGTGCTTTTAGATGTTGAATATTAACCACTCTTGAACAGCTGCTTTTTACGCTCGTTTACCTCCACCCATTCCGCTCCGGTTGCAAGAACGGAAGCATCCTCTCCCTTATATCCCTTTTCTCCTGTAGTAAAATGCATGGCAGTGATTCTGTGAGTTCGAGCAACCTGAGTTTGATGAGTGGCGCTGGAAGTAGCGGTGGCGGTTACGAGTTTCAGATCCCTCGAGCACCCCCTTCCTCCTCCGCCCGCTCGAGTTTCTCCTCAGGAATCGGTAGCGACAGAGGCTCCTCCTTCTTCTCACCTCCCCAGCCAAGCCGATACCAGCAGGCCTTCTCCCACGAACAACGTTACGGCTCCATCTGTGATGCTTCTCCTACTTACGACCAGCTGACTGGCATTCTTACCGGCTCAGCTGAATGCCTCGACGGTGTCAGTGATGGGGCCGATGCGTTCCTCCGAGGCAGCTCAGACGACCCCCACCAACTTCACCACCATCATCACCATCACCAGCACCCACCACCAACTCACGCTCCACCTCCACCAACAAACTCCCACCTCCACAACCTACTGATGTGTGGAGATGCCGGCCCAACACCGGCGTCTATGATGCATGGAGGGAGCGACCAGCTTCTGAGCTCCCAGGACGCAATGGAGCTGCGAATCAGCCTTGAGATCGCAAATCGCGTTAAGTCGGGAGACATGAGTGCCGTATCTCAGTGGGCTGCGGTCGCGGCCTCGGCTGCGCGCACGGTGGAAAACGGAGTGTGAACCGATGGTTCTGCCACATGAACCCTCTTTTCTTAAACCTTCTTTTCTCAGGGGCGGCGGCAGCAAAAATGAAATGCTAACAAGCAAGTTTTGTCTCAGGCGATTTTTGACTGATGCTGCGCATATGTTTTGATGTAAATATATGTACCAACTCCAGCCATTTAGCAACTCCCTGCACCCAATGTATTGGAAAACCGTCAGATTTCTGCCTGTTTCCCATTGTGATTGTGTTTAAATCCCACGCGTAAACACTTACCCCCTTTTGTGTGCAAGCGCCGTTGTCGCCTTTTGTGCTCCCTCCCTTCGCCGCACGTCCTTCCAAACACACACACACACACATATGTAAGTACATATGTGTGTATTTTTAATATTACCTATAACACCAGGCGATTGCAACACAATCCCTTTACAAACACCAAGAGAATCGCTTAACTTGTTTTTCGTCTATCGCAGCTTGCCTTTACCCTGCGTCTTGTGCTTTCACGAAATGTGAACGTGTCTTTGCCTATCCCTTCTTCCCGTCCTAATTCTTGCCACTGGAACTTGATTCATTAGTGAGAAATAACCAAACATGCGTTCTTGCTATATCCTATTTAATATAAATAACAAATCAATACCGAGATGCATTTTGTTGTTGTTGATTTGTCTTTTAACAATCCATTCAGATGCAATAACTTGAAGTGAAATTGGTTAAAAGTCGAAGTTTACGCTAAGGACACATTTTAACCTTGTACTTTAGTAGCGAGGTCCCCCATGTTGGATCTGATTTATTTCAAAACGAAAGAAATTCTAGTCCTCTTCTTCCCTAAGGATGATGTCAGGTAACCAATGTCTAGCAGTGGGCTCCAGGTTTGAGAATCCGCTGCTGCTCGCCTTTTACGATCGGGATCCGCAAAGCAATACAGCTGCAATGCACACTGCATTACTGGATCGCGGGTAAGTGTTCTTGGTCCTTCTGTGACGTCCCGCTTCTCACGAATTTGACAACGACGAGAACAGCCGCTTGAGGTCGTCAACTTCCATTCACCGCCTTACCTCGTCAAACCAGTAGACATCGTGATCGAATCCGTCAATGTGTAATAGTAAACCAAAGCTGCCGTTTCAAACGTATTTTTGCTCGTGTCTATAAACTGGCTCGAGGCGTTGCTCATAATTACGCCTTTCTACTATCGGTGGTCCAGTACAATCAATCCAAATCCAAATTGTCAGTGGCTGCTTTAAGTTCGACAGCCGTATCACCATTCTTGCTGGTGTTTCAGTGTCACACGATGTTTGGGTAAAGGAATAAGCCTACATATATTCCTGCCACCCCGGTTCGGGCTGGCAATGGAAGCAAATGTTTTGCGGTTTCAGTGGTTGCTATCTTCGTCATCTTGAATCGGTGTGGATCTTTAAATGCGCGCACTACTCTCCTGTGGCAGAACATCCTCAGCGAGCATTTTGAGAACTCATCCAAGGGTTCCGTAACGAAGTCTAGAAACAAAAGCAGACTCTAGGCTACTTGGCTCTTTCTTAAATGTCACAATGTGTTGAAGGTCGTTCGACCGCAAAAGCGCTTAATCGATACTTGTAGCTGAGCCAACATCTGTGCAGCTAAACCACGCACTAGCTAAAGAATTTCATTTTTTCTATCTGGCAGTTGTTTTGACACCTATGTTCTGGCCCATTAACTGACGGTAAAGTACTTGAAAACTGATTACATTCTTCACTACCAAAGTAGCTGTTGAATACAACTTTCTCCACAATACTGGACAGTTGTTAAGATACAGATGCAGGAAAGGGAAGCCATTGGTAGTATTTGGTTTCTGCTACAAGTTTGATGGTACGCTTTTACAATGCAACCTTCATGCAGGCTCCACATGTCATTTTTAATCATTTTCGTCGCGGCAGTGCCTACTGTATGAGACCGTTGGTCGTGTGAACCCGCTAACCTTCAGCTTAAAATCCACGTAGAAGTCTCTGGTGAGCCACTCACCAAAAACTAGGTTTTTTGTATGAATAGTTTTCATGAGGTTGGTCAGAACACCTGAATTACAAATCCGTGACGACCAATCGGCAAACTTGGCTCGTCTGATTTGCATAGTTGGGGAGTTCGCACATGCCTGCACGGGAAGCAGGTTGTGTGTTGTTTAAACAAAATTCATCCTGCAGCTGTGCGTGCAACTTGAGTGCTAGTTACACAAGCCTTCGCGCACAAAATTTCGGAACGGGTATTTCGTTTAACAAGCGTGAAAAGGTTGTGAGCAGCAGGCGGCGCTCTCTGGCCACAATCTTGAGCTTACAAAGCGTCTTGGTAGTTTGCAAAAAATAAAAATGTCTCAGTCCGCCTTAATTAATTTTTTTGGAAAATTGTGTGGCGTAGATTCTAACACTTTATCCTGTGCATCACACAAATACCCGTGTTAAGTACCTGGTTGTTAGTTTTCACTTGCACCGGCTGCCCATTGTTAGGAAAACGCTTCTAGTTGACGCTGTCAGGGCTCATTCGTGTATCTTGGAGGCGTCTTCCAGTTACTCCGATTGCGCATTTTCTTGGAAATTAACAAGTGCCATTTGAATTATCAGGTGTTGAAGTTCTTGTAATGAGAAAATTTGGCTTCCCTACTGAAGCGTTCTGACCCAACTGCCTCACAGCCTAGCTCCCTAATGTGGACAACCTTTTGCTGATAAGTTTTTCCTAAAGCCGGAAACTTCGTTTTGTTTCAAATCTCAGGTTCTTTTGAATTTCATCGAGTAATTCGCATCATTAAAGAAAAAGACAACTTTTCGCGATCTCAATATTAGTCAAAGGTGGATAAGCCTCAGGCAACGATTACTTGATGGATTTGAGCACTGACGGAATCACCAGCTTTCTTCGTTATGTCCGCTGTAGATGCGCACTGGTGAGTTGTGGCCTCTAAATGCTTGAAATTACTGAGGAATTCTGCGTGTTCTTAAAGGGGCACTTTGCCTCAGCCCTGGGTGGCTTTATCCATGCTGCCTCCTGTAAGCCCACGGCGTTGTGTTGTTGGCAAAGGGACCACCCTAAATATTCCAATTCCTATAACCAGTTTTTAAGAAATCATTCGACGTGCCTGGCAACCATTTAATTTCAAAATGCCATTTAGTCACTCATCATATTAAGAGGCGAGCCTACGAGACCACAGTATTGTTAGAAGGCAAAAATGGATTTGTGTTTAACACAGGACCATTGGTGTTGACGCGAATGGCTTATTGGCGTTTTCGATCTTAATATTAAGACAAATAGGACTGCGTGATTTTGCTACAAACCTGTTGCAGTTTATTCTTACTGAAACATATACTGATATACAAGATATGGACCCCAAAATCTGCCGTTAGATACCCAAGTAAACCACAACTTTGTTCATGACCACTTTGTTGTTTTCACCAGAGTAGATGTGTCGGAATAGCCCGAAAAGAGAATAGTGTTAATCTAAGTTAACACTATCGTAGGCGCGTTCTGAAATTGCCGGCGGCGAGGTCCCAAGAAATCCTCAGGGACTTTGTTTGAGCTTGACAAGGGGACAGTAATTAGGTTAGGTAATACCTTCCGTAAAATGTGTCCGCAGCCACATTTCTACAAACGTGGACTATTTAGCAATCGTGCATCTATCGTCCTGAAGCTCACAAGTTAGATGGAGTAGTCAAAAGGAGCAGTTCCATTTCGTCAGAGGCTCGTTACAAATAATTTCGCCACAGCTGTTTCGATTACGCAATACTGAACAGGGGTATTCCGATTTACACCACCCCACTTTTCTTCCTTGTTGTGGCCCCAAGTAAGGTAAGGTAAGAGCTTTCGAGATTATCCAAATTAATTTAACAGAGCGGCTATTCGGACAGGAAAAGTAGCCACATCGCCATCGCTTGGCCCCTTTTCTGCAAAGGGTATAATAATTCTGCAGGACTGGCAACCTGTCTTCCACAAATAGGATCTCTTGCACCAAATCGTGATGTTCCAGTGTCAAGGGTCAAGTGTGCTCAGATCACTATAAGGTTTGCTTCCAAATATATGTGCAGAATAATGCGTTCTCGGAAGGTTCTAATTTTCAGGAAAGTAATTTATTTAACTAGGCAAATTTCATATGCAATGTAGGAACGATACCTTACGGTACTGTATGCCTTTCACGCCATGCCCACTGTTTTTCTTTGTTTTGGCATTAATGAACGTAGCCACGTCACATTGCAATTGACCCTTGACACCGGAGCATCACGATCTCCAACGAGTGGTCCTATTTACGAAAGACAATTTGCTAGCCCCCCAGGGCAAATCTATTCTTAGAAAAGAAGGCCAAGCGATGTGACTACTTGTTCAGCCCGAATACTGCCCTTTTAACCCGAATTGGTCCTTTTGGGAAGTTGCCCCAGCCTCTTATGTTATGCTCACTCTTTAATGAAGGGGTTTGTTAGAATTATTTTCAATCATGGTTGTCAAATCAGATATAGAGCAACGATGACCTGAAAGTTGCATAAAATAACTACTCACGAATTTAGAATCGAATAGCAACCGACTGATTTATCTATCTTCAAGAGCATCAATCATCCTAGGCAAAATTTTACCTAAATTACTTGAGATTTACCAAATCTAGAAACTTTTTCAACTTTAAGGGTTTCTGAACCACACGCTTCACGTTCTCAAATTACAATAAGATTGGAAACGTAACATGCAGTGTTTTAGTGTCTTCTATGTAAAGGCTGCTCAGTGTATCATGCGCTTTAAAAATGTCATTGGTTAAACCGTTTTCATTTAAAAAGTAACCATTAAGAGCACCTTTTCAAAAGTCGAAATCACAGGAACGTCGAAAAAAAGAAATTGTGTTTGGACAAATTTCATAGGTGCGTGAGATTGCATAAATTCAAAGGAGTTATGTAGGAGCACCAGTGCGATTTACTTGTCCTTATCTGTTATTCTTACATGTTTGACGAGGCGCTTGTACTAAACGAAGTTAATGCATTTCCCGTTCAAACCGAGAGGCTTTACAGTAGTCAACCTTTTAACTATC